ATGATAGTGGGACCATGTGAGCTAGCTAGTTTTTGTCTGAAAGTGAAACTGACTACCTCACATTTAGACGGATTCAGCTTAAGACCGTTTGAAGAGGATCACTGACTAATTTCCAACAGAAAGTTATTTAATTTGGAACAGTCTGACTGAGAGTTGACAGGCATGGAGACAGAGAGATCATCAGCTTACTTGACAAAAGTGGCTACATCAGAATGTGGTAAGTCATGTAAGAAAAAAGAAAACAGAAAAGGAGAAAGAACATCACCTTGAGGAACACCAGCTAAAGTAAGTGAGGTAGTGGAGGACTTTCCATTGTAGACAGTGTACTGCTTCCTATCAGAAAAATAGGAATGCAACCACTTGTTTGTTCAGCTCTCACTCTGTGTTGCAGCAAGCTTACTTAGCAAGAGAGACCTAGGAACAGAGTCAAATGCAGATGTGTAATCAAGGAAGGCACACCGAACATTTTTAGCTCCTCTATCTAAACTAGAGACTATACTGTGATATAGAACAACAGTGGCATCTAAGGTACACCTACTATGTTTACAGGCAAACTGGTTGGGGTCATTAAAAGGCTTTAAAGAGGGTTCAAGATTAAGTAAAATAAGTCTTTCCATAACTTTTAATAAAGGTGAGGTAATAGCAATCGGTTGAAACTTAACAGTAGGTCCATTTGTTGATTTAGGCACTGGAACAACCTTGATATTTTTCCATGAGTCAGGAATAATACTTTTGGAAAAAGATCCATTGAAAATGTCGGTTAATGGCGAACATAAGATGTCAGCACACTTCTTAAGGATAACAGCAGGAACTCCATTGGGACCAAGGGACTGGGTAGGTTTGAGAGATTGAAGACACTTAAGGACATCATTCGTGTTCAAACATGAGAAGCAGTCATTATTTATACTATTAGATTTGGGAATCATAACATCTGCAGGGGGACATATGAAGGATTTATTAAGCACATCAACATCAACAGAAGTATCATTTATTATTTGCTTACCACCTGTGATTTCCTTTAATAGCTTCCACATATTAGATGAGGATTTACATGAAAGAAACTTCTGGTTATAGAGAGCATTTAGTCTTTGTAATTCGGCTTTAATTAAAGTGTTCATTCTCTCTTTTCATTTTGTACAACTTCTGTTTTTCACGGCGAAGCTTTTTGAGTTGAGAAGAGAAGTAGCGGTCGAATTTTAGGAAGATTGTCTCTTTTGGACAACAAACATCAAGACAGAAATTGAGATAATGTGTTACGTTAGTAATTGTGTTATCGAGAGCTTGTTCAGTAAACAGGTCCCAGTTTGTGTCTTTTAACGTTGTCCTTAGATTCTGTATGTTGTCATGTGAATAACATCTGTGTTGTGTTTTCTTTCCAAGGTAGGAGAAGACCGTTTTGTGCTGCTTTCCATATACTTTGGGCAATATTCTTGTGATGCAGTGATCAGAGTTAAGTAGTGGGGCTCTTTCTCGAGCTTCAAATATTCCTATGTCATTTGTAAACACAAGATCTAGAATATTACCCATTCGAGTCGGGAAGTTGACAATGTTATCATGACCAAGTGAAATAAGGAAACTGTGATCACTAGAATTGAAATCTCCAGTAACTATAGACAAGGAGTTTCTGAAGGAGGTGGCAGCAAGGGGAGTAAATTCATTCGCAAATAAAGACAATTCAGTGGAATTGCATCCAGGCGCAATATAAATGTTCGAGATGTATATGTAGTTATATTTTGACAAATGTTTAGGTAGACAGTTAACGGTGAGGCAGTCAATGTTATCACTAGAGAATTTGCAACATACTTTATTAGATGTACACCATTGTGAATTGATGAAGATGGCGACACCGCCACCACGTTTCTTCCTAGAACTACACCGATCTCACCTGAATAATTTGAAATCATACAGATACACTAGATTGTCATCATACAGATCATGTAGCCATGTTTCTTGAAATGATATGATCCCAGTATTTCGATATATAATGGAAGACACGAGTGATTGAAGACAGTTAATCTTGGCTGGCAGGGAGCGGCAATTAGTACTCATAATTGCAGGAACAGTCATAAATTGAATAGGGGTATTTTTTAAGGCTCTTTGCCACCCGGCATGATGCTTTTTTATGTCTTTTTTATGGTATTTCCGATCAGTAGGTTTTAAGGATATTAAATACTCACGAGAATAAATAATCCGATTAGAGGACACATTAGAATAAGATTCAATTATTTAAAATAAATTGGAAATGAGCAATTAGATGCAATATGATTTGTAATGAATAAGGTATTTGGTAGCCCAAGATTTAAGCAGGCCGCCAAGGTCAACCAGTGGACAGAGTATATTTGGGTAAGTGCATTGTCGTCAGGTTAATAAAAGCTATTTCAGGAAGAGAAGAACGTCCTGAGAAACTGAAAAATGGCATAAGATACGATTATCGATAATAAATCATTGGAAGTACATATACAAAACATATACAAGAAGGAGGTGAAGACGCCTTGGAACGATAGTATACATATGCAATGTTTATTGCTAACCATATCGGTCTAAGCATGGAAACTATGACGTTTTCGGTGAAAGTATAGCTTTGTTCAAACACTTGCTGCAGCCAGAATTTAAGCAAACAGCGAATACGAACAAAAGAGTAGGTTTTAGGTGTATTATAGGCCAGGGTAGATGAGATAAAACAGAGTGTAATAGCGCGTAGATAAAAAGATAATCGTGGGGTGGATGAATGTCATTTTAGTAAGAAGTGAACTCAAAGATCTGAAAGGTTGTAAGCTTTAGGACGAGCTGACCTTTAAGATGTCTGACGAGTTTCTGTAAGGCATATGAGGTGGCATCCTGATAAGAAGCTGAGCAGGTTTGTAGATGTTAGGAACAAAGGCATTTTTTAATATTTAGATCTTTACAACCGTTACTGATTTTTGTTATTTTTTCTAGAGACAACTACTGTTAGGGACTGAATCTGGCTGCTGGTAGCGTTGAGGAGCAAATCAATGTGTAATGAGCGGAACAAGACAGACTGATAATTGAAGTTACACCTAGAATCAATAAGGGCTACCTGAGAGGATAGCTATCTCCGTTACTGTACGTCATTCATGTTTTTCCACTAGCAGTTTTCAGCTCTCAAGCACCAGGTATGACCATGTAGGTAATAGGCATCAGTTTTGGTAACTACCTCACTATTCGCCAGTATGCCTATTACCTACCATGATTCATTCTTATTTCGGAGCTTCTGTAAAAATCCAGTAATTTAGGAAGTATTAATATCTTTCCAGCCTCTTCAGCGGAGCTCAGTGTGAAAATATTGCAGGTGGCCTACCTTAGGGTGCCAAAACATCCCTTTAAAGTGTACATTGCTTTACTCTCTTGAAGTCCAGCTTTAATTTACTGCACAAACGATACCACTGTTCCTGAACAACAATGCTCCCTTTTCTAGCAAACTGCAGTCGCACACTGGCATATTAACTAGGATAAGACAGTTTGGCCGACTGACCTCAGAATTAGGTTTGTATTTTGGTTACCTGTTATCCTTTAGGGGCTCGGTAGCCTAATAATGCCTCAAAGTGTAATTACTGCGTGTCATGTTACCAATCTTGCTAGGGGGTGAGAGTGGTCCTTTGGCATTTCCACTCACCAAATGCTAGTCAAAAATGTCCGAATCATGATACTTCTAGATACCAGTGACCACACAGTCGTAATGCTTGATCTCGTCCTTCGTGAGTGCTAACATTGGTGTGCAAAGCAACCCTGCTTTTCCTATAGAAAAGCCGACGTTGCTGAAATGTAAAGATTCTTGTCTGACGCCGAATGGCCCATGCAGTGGGCATAGTCATCAGTAGAGGAACATTAAGAAGTGGTAAAAGGGGTTATTCACACAGTGATTCCAGATATCGTCACAATACAATCGAAGAAACAATCCTAATGGCTGAGGGGTAGCACCCAGCGTATTATGCAAGCGGAGCGGAAGACTTGGTCTAAGTGGGGACGATGCAATAGTCAGACTGACTACGATGAGCACCTGGAACTGAAGACAATGCAACTTGCGGCCAGAAGTGAAAGGATTAACTTCACTCATAGTAGCGTTACGGCACTAACACACAGCATACTACAAACAACATATGTCCGATCCCAGCACTACTCTTTCTGGGGTTAGCCGAAGCTACGACGGTCGAGGGGTTGGACGAACTACTCAGAAGTTCACCTAAGATCAGTAGCCTCATAAACAAAAACCGAGGACAAAAATATCAAGTTGGCTTACACTAGCTCGTAAAGACAATGTTGGATTTTGGAAAACCACCCGAACTACCAGAGCTAAAGCAGTCGAGTGGCGGGATTTACTACGCATAAGTTCACCGAAGATCTGGAACCTCTACCTTACAATCAAGAAAAGAGCTCAAAGAAATCACTGGTTTATATTAGCTCGTAATCAGGATATTGGATATTGGATGACGAAGCGATTACAGAAATAATAACAGATTCTTAGTGTGCAAAAGACTTTACCAGTGGAACAACGAATATGACCGTTTAGTTGCAACTCATAATATTGCTTTTATTCGGCGATCTTCTGCTGAGGTTTTTTTATAAATTTGTTTAATCGCTCCTAATATTGTGGAAATCATGCTATGATGACATCAGCGCGTTTTCAACAATTTTGTTGTAACACGTTTGAAACTAATAGATATACTTCATTTTTGTGATCTTATCGCATTTATTTCCTTTAAGATGCCCGTATGGGTAAATTAATTGTGGTGAACCAATTGTTGAATTATGTAGATGGGCTGAACATAAATGATTAACTTTTTTAAATTTTTCTTTATATCTTCAGGATTCACTTTGTATTTCTCCATATTATAGTGATAATTTTTGCCAATTTTCCTGGACCCATGTTTTTATTGTGTGCTTCACTCTATCGTAGTGGCCTTTTGACTACTGTTTGAGTTTCCTCTTTTACAGGTGAATCTGCCCCCAGTGCTCCAGTCATCTTTACATTTGGGCAAAGTATGATTACAATCACATTCATGAAATATTTTTTCGTAACTTTAACGATTCTGCATTTTTTAAGTGCAGTTGTAGCGTCTTCATCAGATTTCAAAACTCAAGGCGAACTGGTAGACTACCTATACAGTGAGTTCACGCTATATTTCGATTGATTTATTTCTGCAGGAAATGGTTTTATCAAATCATTGGCTGTTAAGGAAGCAATGACTCTTGTTGACCGTAGAATTTTCGTTAAGAATAATCCATACGAAGACAGTGCACAAGCAGTCGAATATGATGCTACTGCCGCTGCGCCTCGAGTGGTAAGTGCGATAAATTTTCGCGTCACTAACCACCTCCGTGGTAACATCATTTATCTTGGAAATGGAATAAACACAAACAGTGGTTCAATACAACGGTCTAGAATGCGTTTAGGATTATTATATAACTATTCATTGTCTCATGTGATATGTACTAGTTGCGTTTATTGAGTTCATGGTGTCCAGGCCGACATGCATGGTGTGCTAACTCGGAATCTTGCACTAACGGCAAAGTTGACGTTCAAAGTAGTGAAGCTGCCCGAACATTTGACACATTGTAGTTTGAAATATCAGTTAGGTTATGGTCTGTTTAATTCATGAAATTGTTTACCAGCACAGCAATAGACTTCAATGAGGTTAGGTACTTAGGATTAAGAATAGGACCTACGTTAGTGGTCAATTATGATTAGTATTAGAGGCATGAAATTTTTTAGATTCTGCATTCTGCAACTTTGTGTTTGCAAGTTCCGTTCCACTATGCTTTACTTCAAACAAAGAAGGATGCACATACAATACATGTTTTATAACGTGTCTTCTTAGCGGCTTATCGGATAAGTCGCCGAAAATACAGATTTAGTCTCATCTTCAGCGTAAGTGGTTTTGAACTACCACCAAAGTTAGATAGTGGAAAAACGCCAGTGAATGGTATGATGTATGCAAGCATCACCATTCACAGTATTTATAGAATCAACCAAAATGCTGAGATGAATGTTATTTTGGGCAATTATCGTATTCTCCAGGAATCGGGCACCTGTATTCATACGTAATTATTCCTAACAAGCCATATCAAATAGAACTCAGCTGCATTGGAGTTGAGCTGATACGGTGATAAAATCCTCGATGTTAAGAGTTTTCGGGTAGCAAGAGTTCTACGATATAACCAATACCAAACCTCTATGTGTGGGACACGGGACCACTAAAATGCAAATAACAATCGTTACTCTGATGCCCTCAATCTGTTGAATAAATGGACTGTGACAGTAAATTTTACCTCCTAAAGTTCACATCATATAGGGAAGACTGAATAAACAGCAGAGGAGGCAGGATGATTAACTATCCCAACAAGTTCATAGTACTGTGTAGTGAAGAAGCTGTTGTACGAGAGAGTGGATTATGCGAACTTCAGCACAGCAAACTAAAGTGCAAGAGACAAGACATCAAATTCATGGCAAAATATCATAGTCCCGGTTGCTCCACAGGTAATTTTTTTCATAAAGAAACTGAGTTCATAGATATGCTGGTTTCAGATGGCTTAGTTTCCCACTGTAAAATTTTATTTACATTTTTGTGTTACAGCATGCACGTATTCTTGAAGGTCTTAAAGATCACATGACAGAGGGTGCAAACGTCTCGTGTGTTTTGTGCGACAGTGGATACATATTAGCATGTATGTCACTTTTTGTAAGTCTTTGTTGATATAACGAAATATGAAGATGTGTGTTCAGATTCAACATCATTCATTTGTGTATATTGACTTCAGACACCTTATAGCCTGCACTCACAGCCATATGATTGCCTTTTGTTTCTATGATGTTTTCGGTATACTTGAGTATTTATTAATTTTATGCATACTTTTTCACTTTCGTCATAGTGTATACAACGAGTTACGGTGGATGTTAGTAAGACTAGTTTCCCTGAAATTTTATAAACTCACTGAATCCTACTTGGATAACTGTTGTGGTTTGTTCTGAGATTTAGATATTTATGAAAACTACCATCGGTAAAAAGCCTTATTTTAATGGTAATAATTAGGCATTCTGATAGTGGAATCGGATGTTTTTCAGTTGAGATCTTTCAGTTTGTTGTATGTCACAAGTCATACTACCTCTAACTCAGGGTCCGAAAGGTCGGAAAACTGAAAATTTGTGTATTGCTCCCAAGTGACTCAGGGATGCAAGATAATAGTATTACGGCTTGTGATCATGGGTTTTAAGCTTTTTTGGGATTGACAGTTGTGAGCTGGGCTATCTTGCTTACTACCCATAAATTCTATAGTAATCATAGCAGAAGCTATACAGAGAGTAGGAACGGGAGTTACACCATTCTCACAGCTTACTAATATGACTGTCGATGATTTTCTGTATTCTCAGAAGACATATAGAACCTATTCACATACTTAATTGGTTGTCATAGATAAAAATTTAATCGAATTGGGTGGGTGATGGCTTCCTTCATAGGGACCTGTATCACTACTATGTTGCTGCTATGCATACGACATGATCTCTTTTGGGCTTATCTATGAAGTGCATAACTGACTGACTCAGTCATTCATTGGAGTAACTATGCTTACTCATACATTAATGTGTGTAACGATGGTGCGAATAAACCAAAGAGGGGGAGGGTTCTCGATTGGTTACCTCACAGGGTGATAATACATGTTGGTCTTGACTTGTCAGAGGCAGAGTTAGATGTGCTATACTCGAACAGATTTTTTCACAGAATGTCTTCAGATTAATATGTATCCTTGGATATATTACAGATCCTTGCGTAGAGATAGTTGTCTTCGATTCTTGTGAAAACGAGTGTATAACTGCTTAGTCAGTGAAAGTGCCATTGTGTGTATAAACTGATTGATTCTGCCAGTAGTCATATCTGTGCCTGAGAGATTAGACCATGTATTTTCAAGTAAATAGCCTACAACCTCGTCTAGTAACCGGAAGAACCTTGGTTCATAACCTAGTAGGTGCGTCCTGTTGAAGAATCCTGGACTGTCCAGTACTACCCACTTCTTACATTGAAGCTTTAAGTCCTGTTTTGCACTCAGAACTCAAAAGAAAGCATGCGTGATAGAGATGAATGCTAGTAGGCTTCTTCTGTGAAATTTGAAGAAAGCAACAAATGGAACTATGATCGTTGCAACGTTGTCAGTTCCATTTCCATTAGTTTATTTGTTATGAAACATGTCATTTTAAACCATAACTTTAAATGTCAATATTGAATGGTTGAGTCTCTTCTTCTTTGTGGGTCGGAAACTGTGCTCACGCATTACGAAAAGCATTTCCAACAGGCTATGGAATATTGTTAACAACTGTCTTCGCTGTCTTATATAATGAAGATCCGAAGACTGGTCAGAAAAAAAATTAGCAACAACAAACTGTGCTGAGCAAAGACCCAATCAAGAACCTACTGCTCAAACAATACGTCGAATGATACGTATACTAGATTGGACACACTCTGAGGATACTGTGGGGTGACATCACGCGCTAGGCCATTGTTCGAGTGGAAGTCGAGTGAGAAAAGACAAATAGCGTATGGGTTTAAAGGGTAACAAGGAGGATACCGTGTGAAGAGAAGATGAGACAGTCTATATATACAGTTGTGATGCCAACTAAAGATAACTGCAGAGAACAGTCCTATGTCCTACTCGGAACCCATGGGAATAATAACAATAACAATGATAACTGAATGATTGACTGACCCCAAGTACTAAAATCCATGACTACATTCATATATATTTTTACCACTTTGTTTGTTGTTTTGAAGGTTACTGTTCGAGGTGAAGTTATAGGAGTTCAAATGAAATATGTGTTGACCGTGTTAAATTATAATAATTTTGAAACATGGATTCAAAGTACTGGTAGTGTTAAATTACTGGGTTATCAAAAAAACAAACCATTCCTTCTTTATTCACGTGATCAAACAACTGATGATGTGCCCGGCACAAATATTAGTGCTATTTACTATCATGGAGATGATCAAAGTACTCTTGATGTAGTAAGTTATTTAATTTAATAATGAACACTTTGCACCATAAAAAAAGACTTCTGAAAGTTTGCTCTCATGTTGTTGTCTTTACTCATGACTGATTCATTTACACACTGAAAAGTCAACTTCATGGGTAGGAAATTTCGTGAATGAAATTTTTACAAGAGATGTAGCACACTATTACCGTGTCTATGTTATGTAGATGAACACCATTTCAAGGCAACACTCATTTGTTAGTTGTCATTTCCTGCGTGGGTTGTTCGTGGGTTGAATGTTCACTAATCATGCTGGCGACTGTGTAGTGACCCATTTTATTACTCATCATCGTACTATACTTTCATTGTATAACTGTACTTTGATTTGTTTATTACTCTAAATCTTGCGTGTTAACAATTGATACATTTGTACTCGCTCAAGTTTTGAATTTGGATTACGGCGAGAATACACATCCCTACACCTTCTCAAGTGTCTTCTGATTTACGTTGTGTGTGTCTGGTATTCTGCTAGTGGAAGCGACAGATTGAGGTGTTGACCTCTCGTAAATGCGATCCGCGATTTCGGTGAGCCTTTCTATGTCAATGTCGTCGTCTCCGAAAGCAAGAACATGCTGGATGTTTGCAGGAAGTCGTCGCAGCCAGATTTGGTAAAAGAGACGTTTATCGATTTCTCTACCTGCAACTAGGCTTTGCATATGCCTCATGAGTTGCGATGGGGTTTTATCACCTAACTCAACATTGCTTAACAGGCGATCGAGTGCTTGCCTATCCGAAAGCGAAGTGCATCGAAGTACCTCTTCCTTCAACTTGTCGTAAGGCTCTTCTGTGCTGGGTTGAGCGATGTATTGCCGTACCTGCTCGGCGACTTCGTCTGGTAGTACTGTACTCAAAATGCAGAATTTAGCTGTCTGTGACGTTAGCTTATTGCTAGTCAAATAATGTTCCAGTCGTGCAAACCAAAGATGAGGGTCTCTGGGCTTAAAAACTGGTACAGTAAGAGAAATAGTACTAACAGATCCCAGCTCTAAGTTATCAGAGGTATTGGAAGACATGTTACAATTCGTAAAAATGGTTTAAGAGTAGCAAAATAGCAAAATTTGTGCACACTAAGGATATGGCAAAACATGCAATGTAGATGCTTACCACAATTTACTGCAGGTTGTGCGATGAGATAGCAAAAGAATGAGTTCGAAATGTCTAGTAAATATAGAGATCCACGAAAGTTAGAGTTTTATTAATCCAGCAAGTGTAACGATGCGTCGAGGTCAACAAGTTGTCGTCGGGGTCAGCCAGTTGTCGTCGGGCTCACCAATTGTTGTGCTGCTATATTTTGATTAAACTAGCGTATACGTATATCCTAATACTTCTTCTCGTTTATAATTGTGTCCTAACGTTGTGCTTACTCGACACACACAACGTAAATCAGAAGACACTTGAGAAGGTGTAGGAATGTGTATTCTCGCCGTAATCCAAATTCAAAACTTGAGCGAGTACAAATGTATCAATTGTTAACACGCAAGATTTAGAGTAATAAACAAATCAAAGTACAATTACACAATGAAAGTATAGTACGATGATGAGTAATAAAATGGGTCACTACAACTGCGGCTTAATTCCCGGCTGGTATACACCTAAATCTCGCCCTGTTTGGTGGATAGTGAGCCTAAAAAAAGGGGGGGGGGGAAGGTTAGTTGTGAGGTTAGCAATCAGAATCCGCAAAGCAAAACATCACCGAGATACTGAAACTTCAAATCATGAAGCCGCATATTTCACTCGCACCATCTCAATATTTCTTGATATTGTATACTGAAATGATTTAATAGAAGTCACTAGAAGCATAAGAGTAGCAGTCATAGACAATGGCTAATTTGTGCATACCAGTCGTTACAGTTTGATTTCAACGATGCTTTATAATTTGTCTGATAGCTAATCGAGATTGTAATTAATTAGTGGTCGTGAAAGAATTTCATTGTACAATTCTTTTAACTGACAATAAAGTAACGAAGAGACGCAACGTGTGTTTTGTCACTGGTTCTTTCACGAGGGTAACGCACTGATGTTTCAGATGGAAGTAAGATGGTGGCCATAACTAACTTAGTAGGCCAACTTGGCAACAAACCGATCTCCTTAATTAAACCTTCCATATCAAAGTCAGTCTGCCTAACTGGTAGGGATTATTTGGGAAAATCTCACTAGCCGTTATGATAAGTTGAAATTTAGAATTCCTCTTTGACCAATCAGTATTCTCTGAACGAAAGAACATAAGGAAAAGACGTAAACATCGAAGAAATTTCTTTCTCGACGATCCATTTGCACAAGCTGTACAATCGTAATTATGTTTAACAAAGAACTCGTAAGAATAGTGAGACACAGATAAAATTTGTCCTCGAAAACGTATTAAGTAATGTAAGGTGTAATCTAGAAGGGTGATAATTCGAGAATTAGAAAAGGGGCAGAAGTTGGCATGACATGATAAGTGTGAGATAATGACTAATCAACATAATTGAGTAGAGTGCAGAGGAACCAATGGGAAAAAGATAAAGTATCTTTATGAGGTCTGTATGAAAACCCAATGTTATTAGTGAATAGTACTAGAGTGGTGATAAAATAAGGGTGATAAGTATAATAATAATAATAGTAGTAAACTTACATTATAAAATGAAGCGAAATTATAGTGAGAACGTAACTCTGGCCACTGTAGGGCGAGTGAATGTATATAGTGCATTTCAATGCAGAGGTCAGGTTTCAGATCCCGAGTAGCCAATGATTCAACTATGGACAGATGTTGTATTCGAAGTCCTTTCTTACGATACTGAGAAACTCTGCGTAGCACTGTGAAGCATTCATTCAAGTGGGGGTGGTCAATGTCCAGAGTTGACAGGGTGTTCGAGAATGAAGCTGCTACTATTCTACATTTCTCCTCTGGATGGCTAGACAAGCTGGACATTGTTCCAGAATACGTTTCCGGACTTGACCTTGCGTATGGCCGATATATTTTGTTCCACACGAATAAATGAACTGATATATGCACATTGAGGTGGTCGAAAGCAGTATCTTATCCTACACGATAGTCTGGATAAATTGCCTGCGGAGAATGTAATATATAACGTGGCTGCTTGAAATGTCGTCTTCACACATCTAGAAAGGCGGTTTCTAAGAGTTTCCGCTTCGATGTCACCTCTGAGTTACAGATTCATGAAGAGAGTTTTATTGTGAACAGTTGCGATTATTGGCGACAGAGGCTTTTCCTTCAAGTTTCTGTGAATGAATCTCGGTGTATACCCATTCTCCTCCAGTAGGGTTTCACGAGTGATGAATTTAACTCATTCTCTATCTATCGTGTCTCCCGAACATATTTTTCGAATCCTTGGGTATAATGTACTTACTAGGTTTTGCTTTCGGACCTGTGAGATGAAGCTGTGGAACATGACGAACTGTGTTGTTTTCATTTTCCTCTCCTATCTTAAGCATAACCTTTACCTAGTGAGGGTCGTTTTAGTTGGGGTTTCATAGTTTGAAATATTTCCATATCATGAAGTGAAAGTCAATCTGGACGAAGAATATGCTTTTGAATAAATTCCGTTGAGGTTGATACAATTATAAAGTAGAAAGTTCAGTAATACCAAGACTTTATGGTCTACCAAAGGTACACAAGGTTGGTCTCCCACTTCGCCCAATTCTGGATATGTCAGGTTCCCCTTACCACTCTATTGCACAATGGCTAGCAGATATTCTGGAACCTGTAAGGAAGCAATTATGTACGCACTCACTCCGTGACACCTTCCAGTTCATCGAGTGCATACAAGACACGAATGTATCTAACCAAATTATGCTATCCTTCGACATCGAGTCACTCTTCACCAATGTCCCACTCACAGAAACGGTCTGCTTCATATGCAGATATATAGATGACAACCACCTCGATATTGGAATATCGACAACATACTTGAAAGAATTATTATTGAGATGCACTCTGAACGTCCAGTTCACATTCAACGACACCATCTACAGACAAAAGGATGGTATTGCAAGTGGATCTCCGTTGGGTCCACTACTATCAGACTGCTTCGTGGCAAGCCTCGAGAGAGGTTCACTAAAGTCAAGTATCGACAATTTGCAACTGTATAAAAGATACGTGGATGACATTTTCATTATTTGTGACAACAACAACGACCCCAATCTACTGCTGAAGACATTTAACGATTGCCATCCAGCAATAAAATTCACTCTTGAAATGGAAAACGAGTCAAAAATTCCGTTTCTTGATGTGGAACTGACAAGAAGAGCTGATGGGAGCCTAAGAAGATCAATCCATAGAAAACCTACGTGGAATGGTCAACTAACAAGCTTCTATAGCTGGGTGGCCATTCAACAAAAGCGGAATTTAATTAAATCACTTGCTTCCCGCATCCGACGCATCTGTAGTCCTGACGTTGTGGAAACAGAATTAGATATTCTGAGAGAAATATTCATCCAGAATGGTTACCCAACAAGATTTATCGACAAAAATATTAAACCAATAATTCGGAAAAACGAAACTTTGACTGCGCCTAAAAAGAAAATCTACATGAACTTGGATTTCAAGGGAAATTTAGCAAGCGATATTCTCAAGAGAAGGATCACATCATCTCTAAGAAGAACATTCTTTGCAGCAACGCTAAGAATAGTGTTCTCCAGTCGCCCACTAATCTGCAGAAGCCTCAAGGACAAGATCCCGCATCTGGCCACTTCTATGTGCATATACCAGTTCACCTGCTGCTGTGGAGCTAGGTACATCGGTCGTTCGACGCGCATCCTGTCCAAGAGGATTCAAGAACACTATCCAGCATGGTTGCGAAAAGGCAATACTGGTGCAATAAGGAGTGCGATAATTGAACACCTGGTCAGCACTGATCATTGCATTTCAACGAACGCCTCCTTCAAAGTAATCTACCGAGTCAAGAACAACATGTCAAAGGCAATACGGTTTCGTCTCCTCTGTATCGCTGAAGCTCTAGCCATTCACATGGAAAAACCGGAGCTGTGCATACAAAAGAAGATTACTCAACCACTTCTACTCTCATGGTAGCAATGTTTTGATTTTATTTTATTTTATTCTGATAACTTAACTTTGTTTCTTTGCCTGTTCCTTAGTTGCTTATAATTCTTGTATTCACTTAGATCTCTTACATAGTTTCGTATTATCTACTTTGTTTCTATGTGCATCCTGAGTAAAACTCACCCATCAAAATATTCATATTATTATTGCATAACTTCTTTTAACAACTGTTTTTGACAATTCATCACCTTTGTTACTATTCTAGCACTTAATTGCCTTGACTTATATTACCAACCTTTACCTGTTTAGTTAAAATAACCTTAAGCAATTGTAATTCTTGTATCCACTTAGATCTCTTACATAATTTCTACTTTGTTTCTATGTGCATCCTGAGTAGAACTCACTATTATTATTACAACTGTTTCTGACAACTCATCACCTTTGTTACTACCCTAGTTTTCTTGACCTGTATTACCAACCTTCACTTGTTTAGTTAAAATTAACCTTAACCAATTGTAACTTTGTTTGACAAACTTAATGTACACATACAAACAAAACAATGCATATATATTTGCGATTGTACAGCTAAGAAGATGAATTCGCCGAAAAGAGACTCTTCGCTGATCTACGTGTTTTGTTTTCAAGAAAACTTCTTATCGTTACAACCATTATTAGTTATGTAGTGGGTATATTATTAGGTAGATTGATTTAATCTCTTTCTAAATATATCTCTCCACCTGATTCATTTCACGGATTGGTTATTTCACGCTCAGCTATGCACTTCAGTTGTACTATCTCCTCTTTATTGCATACTCTTTTTTACTGGCCACTTTTTATCACCTGCATCTGACTTGCCAGTTTTCTTTCACCACATCGTATGAATCTGCTATGACTAATCATTATCATCATCCCTCATTTCACAGTATTTTGAAGCTGAATTCAGCCCAGTACGTTCGTAACAGAAATACTATTTGTTTTGTCATCCCAAAACTAATCTGTTACTCTACGTAAAAGTGTTTTCCCTTGCGAAACTGGCTATCATTGCTGAGATAAAAAGCATTATCATTTTATCATTGTCAGGGTTTCAAGATGAGCATTTATTGAGAAGAATATTCTCCGTTCAGACTGACTTTTAATTCTCTCAGATAACTCTCAAACTGACAGACTAATGCTATTGTTAAGATGGATTATCGATGTTAAAGTGAAAATATGATGAGCAGTAATATTTGAAACTACCGGCTGGCACAGATGAGGATATCAAAGTCAAGATTTGATGAGCAAGAGAGTGCAGAAACTTAATCAGCATAGTATTATGAATAAGATTCGTATCTTCATTACTAATGTCAAGGCAGTTAGTGCTTCTCTGTGGTTGAGAGACCTGGCGTGTGAGTGAAGAAAAGCATTTCCAGAATGCGGTTGCAAAACTTTCATCAACACTTGCACGCTTCATTGGATACTGAAGATCAGATGACCGGAACGGGTGAACAAGCAACACGGAACTTCAGCAACGAATCAGCCAAAAACTCATCGCCTATCAAATATTTGCAATTAATAGTGTTCTCTGAGCTGGTTGGTTTAGTTGCGAAGCTTTCGTCGTCCTTCTGGACAACATCTTCAGAGCCATATTTAGCACAAAGTGAAATGATTTAAATTGCTTCATGGGTGATGTAATTGCGTCTCCTGGTGACTATCTTTACATATGTATTGACCATTTTCTATTGACTTGGATTTTAAACTTTCTGGTCATCTGATTTACTTTTTATTAGTTGGTATATTTCGTCTATATTAACGTGCTTGTTAATTACATTTTCGTTTGAGTACCAGGCTTCTAGGAATTCCCTGGCACTTTTAGTGATCCTCTGTCTAAGATTTTGACATTATCCCAATCAAATTGATGACCATAATTGTCTATATGCATAGAATTCGTAAAATCTGCTCTGCAGAGACAATCGATAGTGAATTAGATAAGCTTCGATCATATCTCCTTAATAATGGTTATCCTACAAGGTTTATCGAACGTAACATCAAGAAAGAACACGCCCCCAGACAAATTACAGTGCCGAAGAAAAAACTGTTTATGAGTCTGGCATTCAAAGGTGACACCATTTCAGAATTGATTAAAAATCGTTTATCTAAATGTATTAAACGTACTTTTCCTGCAGCTGATTTACAACTTGTTTTTACCAGCCGAAATATGATTAGACAATGCGTCAAGGATAGATTACCGCTTTTGCCCACATCCATGTGTATTTACTCTTTTACCTGCTCTTGTGGAGCGGTTTATATTGGACGTTGTAAGCGTAATCTCCGAAAACGTGTAGCTGAACACTATCCAGTCTGGTTAATGAAAGGCGAACGTAGAACCGCGAAGTCGTCTATCTGTGATCACCTGTTAGAGTCAGGTCATTTAGCCCCACGTGATTCTTCTTTCAAAGTTATCTACATGGCAAAACCGAATCGATCCAAAAGTTTACGTTTTCTTCACTTATGCATAGCCGAAGCTTTAGCTATACATGAACAGAAACCTAAATTATGTGTTCAAAAACGTTTTGTCAAACCCCTTTCTTTACCTTGGTCATAGTAATGTTCTTTCTAGTTTTTACTTTATTTTATTTTACCACTTGAATTCTTTCCACTTCACTTCACATCTTCATTCTTATCGTAATCGTACTTTTATTTTATAAAATTTTTTAGACAACACTTGACCTTTTTAAAACATTTTTCAATTCATTTATAAAACAATCTTTAATAATTTTGTAATTTATCCACTTCAACTCTACCCCTGATAACATTTTTATTATCGTTATTCTTATCACATATATGTATATTGACTGAGCAATTATTTAGTGCCACTTAATGACCTTTTCTGTAATATAAATCCGACTGTACAGCTTGAAAATGAAGTCGTTGAAAAGAAATTTCTTCGCTGAACAAAAACTGTGTTTTTACTTATGAATAAATGGGTATTTTTCGTGATACATATCGTATCTTTTCACGGCTGATTTGTGTTCTTGGATTCTGATTCAAAGGGGACACCCACTTTGGCCAATGTAATACTTGTTGCAATTCATACAATTTATTTTGTAAATGGTATTAATTTTATCCCCTTTTTCTGTTGGATCTTTTGGTTTGCATAATATTGAATTAAGCGATTTTACTGATTTGTGTGCTATATCTATATCAAACGGCTTCAGTATTCTAGCTGATATTTCAGAGATATTTCTCATGTATGGTAGAGTGAATTTTCTTGTGGTCTTTGATGATGGTTTCTTGTTGGTGTTTTGATTCGACTTTAAACACCTTTTGATGAAATTTTGTGGATAACCATTCTTTTTGAAGACCGTTTGTAGGTACTTTTCTTCCATTCTTTTCAACTTTGGAGTGCTACAATGTGTTTGAACTCTTTTAAACAATGTCTGCACACACTATATATGCAAATGGAAATGGAGGTTAGAGTGACATACATTGAGATGGATGTTGAGCTAGATCCTAGAATGAGAGCCGATTAGGAAATCATGAGTTGGGTGTATTAGTGTGGCGTGATGGAGATCGTTTGTAGCCAGGTGAAATGGATTGCAGGGCTAAAGCCCTATATTCCACTTGGAACCCAATAAAATAATAACAATGATAATATCAATAATAATAATAATATTAATAATCTTGATTCTGGCTCAAACTACTCTGAGATTTACCGACTAATACGGAAATTGGAAGAGATGAGCGATGAGCAGGAATAATAAAGCTACAGATGTCCTATTGAAGCAGACCAGTTATTTCTCTTAATATGTTAAGTATCGAGAGGTAATTATAATCATGTTCTTGTATTCACTGAAATTATCATGCCAACCAACTAGCCATAATATATTTTTAATTTTTCTTTATCCATTAATTCTAGTTAGCGACACGTTTGAGACCTGGTGGTCGTCTGATTTATGAAAAAAGTACTGGAAGCGGTGATCCTGAATTAATGGTGGTAGATAAATTATATAACGGCTCATTGTATAAAAGATCACTGACTGATATGATAACGGAATCTCCTAAAAAAGAAGTCGAAGAAGGAAAAAAGGAAGAAGCAGAAAGGGAAGAATCGGGAGGAGTGGAGGATTTATTGCCGCCTTCACCTGCTCTCCCTGGGTAAGACTTATTAATTAGAGTGTATTAGTGTATGCTTGTTTACCTTGTCGAAGTAGGGTTAAACCACATGATTTCATTAAGTAGTGTCTTCATATTTATGCGAAATATTGAAGTGGACCAAGTGAACAAGGGTAGCTGAAAATACCCGTTTGTATGCAAGTCATCTGGATGATGCATTTGTGAAGCGTAGAGATATATGTACCAAGACAATTGCTTCACATTGAAATATAAGCAAATCACTGAAGTACACATCCTGATTTTTGTACTTACTGGTAGTTTTTCCTGTTTGAAATGTACCAGTACAAAGTTTGAATTCATGACTTATTGAAATCCCCACCAAAGTGGCTGAATGTTCAACGGCCTTCGTCTCATAACCTGAAAGTCACAGGTTTGTTCCATGGTTGAGGCCTAGATGTCTCCTGTTGAGTAGTCCCAAATGAGGAAAAAATAGTTGCTTTGAAAGATTTCTGGCCTTCAATGATCCCACTAACTGATGTTTATTCATGATGAAATCTACAAGGCTACTTTATAGAGGTTCAGTGAATTTGATTCATTCTTAATATTTTTGTTTATTGTCATGCTTTAAAATCTAGAATTCAATGCGCTTATCTTATTCCTTTTCTTCGTCAATGTATGTTTCTATTGCAGATTACCCGATCGCGACGAACTGCTTATCATGTCGTCACAAACTAAGTGTATTCCAGACGTAAAAGTATTGCTACTGTTGGTCTGTATTGCTGTCATCTCATGCATCATACTATTCTAATGTGATGAGTGAGCAGAGACTGAACACTGGACTGCATTCCACTCACATCATATGTGATATTTGTTGAAATCGTGAATATGTTCTGGTCGTGATCACTGCAGTTCAAACCATTTGATTGTCTTTTATTTAAAAGGTTTTGTTTCAAAGCACGATAACATTCGGCATTTCTCTCCTTCAAGATTCACTTTCATCATCATCATTATCATCATCGATATTCACTTCCCATCTTCTCTTACTTATACACTTATGTGTCGACAGAGAAGATAACTGTGTCATCGTTTCAATACACTAATTTCTCCCTCCATGTGTTCATTATTGGAGTGCCTTGTGATTGTCAGTCTGTGTGTTTGTGTGTGTATGGTCGCATTAAATCGTGTGATGTGCTTGCAGCATTCTCTAACTGTATTGTCTTTGCAAACATTCGATATATTTTCAGTTGATATATATCTGGGTGTACTAACAGTATTACAAGTATTATCATTATAATTTATTGTTGTTATTATTATTGTTCCCTTGGGTTCCTAGTGGAACATAGGGCTTCAACTGTACGCGTCCACTTGCTTCTGTCTTGTGCTGTACTTTTCACTTGCATCCATGTTGATCCATACTGTTTCAGTTCCTCTTCACACGATCTCCTCCGTGTCACCCTTGGACGTCCCACTCACCGCTTCCATTTCGGGTTCCACTCGAGGGCCTGACGCGCAATGTCATCCAACGGCCTCCTCAGCGAGTGTCCAATCCATCTCCACTTTCTCCTGCATATTTGTTGAGCGACTGGTTCCTGATTTGTTTGTTATTATTGTTATTATTAGTGTCCTTATTACTATTGTCGTCATTCGTCCATCACACTGTGAGTAGAACGTGGTATTTAAAGAGAGCATCTCCATTGCATTGAGTTCCTTGTCATGACATTGATTTGGCTACGAAACTGTCCACAAACTTTCAGCTTCCTCTTCACATGATCATCGTCGTATCAGTCATGGATCTGTAAGCAGTCGCTTCAGAATCCATTCACTTCGATTTACTTCAGCATAATCATGGAGCAATAGCCTCCTGCTTGGTTCGGCATTTTTCGGAGACATTTATCAGTTATCATTTACAATAAAGCTATTTGATGTTAGGTATCATATGCAGTGGGGCGTTGGTAATGACAAAATAGCTGTATTTTCTTGAGAATTCTTTGAATGGTACACGAAGACTTTAAAGCATAAATGAGAAACACTGTGTGGTTTATTAACATCATCATTATTATTTATTATTCTCATGGGTGCCGAGTGAAACATAGGGATTCAAATTTATATATCTCCACTTTGGCCTGCTATCTGAAATTATCATACTGTGATAGTTATTTATGCTATTACTTTCTTCAGTAATATAGAAACGAGCCAATTGGATGCAGTCAACCACTTGTTGAATAATGCAGATGGACTGAAATTAAATTTTTCAACCACACGTCGAAGCTTGGTCATGATCACGAACTCACACGTTAAGTTTGTCAACCTGAATCAGTATTTCTTCTTCTTATTATTATTATCATGCACTCGTAGTCTCACTGCGAAGCCTCATGTTCCATCTCCCATATGCCTCAGTGTATTGTGTCGATTAGTTAATGAGAGTGTGCTTTTTCCTGTTTTACAGGTGAAGCCGTGCTCGCCGTGCTCCAGTTATTTTTTCATTTGGGCAAAGGATGATCACAACCACATCGACGAAATACATCCTCGTAACTTTAACTATTCTGGATTTATTCAACACAGTTGTTGCATCTTCATCAGAGGTCAGAACTCAAAAAGACTTGATAAGCGACCTATACAGCAAGTTCACGTTATATTTTGGTTGATTTATTTCTGCAGAGAATGGTTTTATAAAATCTTGGACTGTTAAACAAGTGATGACTCTTGTTGACCGTCAATTCTTTGTTAGGCAAAACCCATACGAAGATAGTTCACAACCAGTCGAATATGGTGCAAGAATCGCTGCGCCAAGAACGGTAAGTCAGATAGAATTTCGGCTTATTAACCACTATTATCATGACATGGTTTTGTAACAGCAGAAGACAAGGGCCAGGCAACAGATCGTTTATTAAGGAAATCAACACATATTTATAGCTTTTCATGTTAGCAGAAAAACACAGTCTTCTGATTGGGTGTTTCTCACTGAAAGTTAATCTTTCATCTCTTTGTGGCTGTTTCTTGAATGTCAGATCATCTATATGCCAACTGTATCCGCCTACGCAAAGTCTACTGTGTTGGTTGTTGAATCACTCTTTGTTCATATTTTTCTCACGACCAATATAGAGGACGTAAACATTGACGTAAATTACCATTTACCAATTCGGCTAGCAACCAGCTCTCACCACAGTTTATCTTGAAAATCAACGGAGGGCAAAATGTGGTTAAAAACAACTATTCAGAATACATTCGGGTTCGTCATTTAACCCCTCATCACCTCAGGCGATATATGCGACTTGTATTCATTGGGTTTGTGGTTATGAGGCAGCTTTACATGTTTAACAGCAAAATCTGTGTAAATTTGCGGCTATGCTTGACAGGTTGGCCTCCACGGAAATAATGAATTTCACCACATTGTAGTGTGAAATGTTGATAGAGTTATGAGTTGTTCATTTCATTAAATTACTTGCCAGGATAGAAGTGGAATACAGTTCAGTTTCGTAAATTTATTCGGAGTAATAACTCGGTTTATGCTAGTGTTACATTTTGGTGAGCAGTGCAATATTCCAGTCAAGAAAGAAATGAAATTCTTCATTCTTTAACATTGTGATTCCGAATTCTATTGCAATAAACTTTGCTTCAAACCAGAGATGACACTTAGATACTACTTGTGTTATGATTCATCCGCTCAGCATTTTATGGGGGTAACTGGTTCTACGTTTTGCTACTGAACTCATTTGTTTTAAAATGTTTATTTTTGACGAAATAAATTGTGCAGAATAAACAAAATATAACACGCTTTAGTGAATGCTAAATTGAAACTGATCCATTCTTTCTGGACGTGATGTGGCGACTGCAGTTCATGGTTTCACGCCTATGATGAAATAGAGCTAACCCTTTCTGTATCCGTGCTGATAAGGCTTGTTTGACATTTGACAAGTAATGAGGCGTAGACTGCTGGCTAGTTGGGTTCCTCGGGATGGTAATAGCCAAAGAAGACTGGAGAGAATTGATGATGTGGCTCAAGATTGTTCTGAATGGCGCAGACACACTCAATCTTTGTGATTTGTTATATTCAATAAAACCCTATGCATCTTCTTTTTCTTCTATTGTATTACTATTCCTTTTCCCTAACAATTGTGTTCACTATCTGTCCTTTGAATCTCTCCTTGCACCTTTCTGTTTCTTTATGTGCTACATGGAGAGTGGCATTTCGAATTGATGCATAGCTGTGAAAAACCCTCTGTTGAAACCAGTCAGTCATTTACGCCTCACAACATCTGCACCATTCTGCCTCATGAAGCACATAAGCGAAGTGAATATGCAGTCACTAGTGCTGTGGGAGGCAGCACATCATAAGCGAATCTGTCAAAGTAACTGACGGAGCACTAAAGTTTCTGAACTGTGAAGGTCTCTCACCACAATGGGAAGATAACCAGCGCTCGGACACAGGTGATGCTTTTAGCGTCATGCATAAGTGGGATATTAGCCTTTACTAAACATTTGCAACAAGACCTACTTGCAGTATACCTGTTGCTCCACAAGGGGAAATTCGTAGGAAGAGATGTGGACCAACAGCCAAAGTCGCCTCACAAGCCGTTGAATGTGCATACTTAGATTCATCCACAGTGTTGGCGGATAGTGTACAGTCGTCGTCGAAGTTAGATGTTGAAGGGAACTCAAGTGAGTGGCCTAATGTAGTCCTTAGCAAAAATAGAGACAAAACCACTGCACAAGATGTATCGCACTTGAGAGATGGAAAGATGCCTTTCTTTTCTCATGGAGAAACAGACGACAACAGGAAACCTGATGTCTCCGATAGGTAGTTTATTTTCCACAAAGTGGGGGAATCCAATATTTCGGATTCTAAGGCCATGTTCGCACATGGTCTCAGGCTAGTCAAAACAGTTTTAGATAAGCTACTCTCTACAAAGTAGCAAGCATAAACACCAACAGTCTGCACAGAGTTAACCAGAAGGCTGTCTCCGCAATAAGTCAGTTGGTGTGTCTTCACATTGAATTTAAGAAATAAGACTGATCACATTTTGAGTTATCCCTTTAATCCCAAGGGATAAGGCATTTTTCTCGGTGCATAATTATGCCTGGCAGGATGTATTAAAGGGCGTTCCAATTAAATAAACGTTATTGAATGGTGTCGCTCAGGTGATGAAATCATTATCATTAGGAGATGTCGCATAGCACATGTTCTGCAGTTTTACATTTACCAAACATCTGTGAGTGAAATTCAGCGGTAACAAACTGAAATAACAATTTGCTGCATTATTGTCTGCAGTCTACCAAGTTAATGGCTTTAGACGGGTAGCATGATTATCTCTGAGAATGCGGATATCATGACTATGACGGGATCACCACAAGTATCTGGAATCTGTGACAGTGGAGTTAGCAGCAAAAAGTTTACGATGCGTAGGGCAGATTCACTAAACTGCAGAGGAGATGGGGGTGGTTAAGTACCTCGAGAAATGCTTACTATTTGGTGACTCAGAAGCTGAAGCACATGAAAGTGAATCTTGCGAACTTCTACTATGCAGAGTAAAATGCATGGGACGAGATACCGACCTCATCGAAATATACCTCACTCTCAGTTGTCTCACACAGAAACCAGTCTCATGAACATTCAAATCGACAATTTCGGTGGAATCGGCTGGACAAGTTTTACCACGCCACCCTCATAAAATCCCTTGCATCATTGGCAGATATAATGTCCCGTTCGATTGTCTGATCAAGAAACCTGTAATTTGTGATTCTTAGAACTTTGTCTCTCAAACACCAACCTGGTTATCTCGTACAGAGAAGATGAGAATCACAAGCAACATCTGCCATCTCTAGTGAGAGGAGGAAGTGATCACGTTGTACTCACGTTTGACTTCACATTTGACGCAGTAACCCGAAACTGAAAGTGATAAACAAATTAAAGTATCCGTTCACACAACTGTGTGTTCTGCATAAAATAACGAACTGCGAATCTGTCATGTTCCCCCACATAATGCAAGACGTTACAAATCCCCTGTGTAATAGTGCTTGGCAAAAGTGTTTGGAGTATTGACAGAAAGGAGGAGGGTGTAGCCATGTAACCTTAACAAAATATCGAGATATCATCAAAGTTTGAGAATATTTTGATTTTGCTTCTCGTCTCTATTGCAAAAGTCTGTATGTAGGTAGTGAGAAAGATGGATTTTGCCAACATAGATATGTGCATTCATATGTTGAGTGTTTTTGAATTCTTATTCTAATGGCATAATTTCTACGTGGGAATTTTTATTTCTCTTTTTATGATACAGCATGCACGTATCCTGGATGGTTTAGTCGGTCATCTCAAGCGAGGTGTGAAAGTTTCGTGTGTTTTGTGCGACAGTGGATACTTAATAGCATGTATGGCTGTTCTCGTAAGTCCTTACACACAACAACGAAGATATTTTGTTTGTGTTAAACACCACTCAGTCGTGGATATCGATTTCAGACACTCTACAGTCTGTACCTTGTCCATTGGTTGTTCAAGGGTAGAATACTCACCTTCAACGCGTGTGGTCCACGTCTCGATTCCCCTGTCAACACAGTCTTAAATCTAGCTTAGCTGACAGTGATTCTGGCAAAACGTGTAGATAATAATAATTTGCTTTATTCCAGAAACAGTACTAGTGGTACAGTGTGGAATTTTCAGCACATATCTACAATATTTGCATCTAATTTTACAAACATTTAAAAGGAGTATTAATTAAAAAATAAATTTAAAGACACCAACAGCAAAAAAATAGGATAAACACAAAATAATTGTAGATGCGGAAAAGTACCAAGAAGTAGAAAGGAAAATAAACATCATATAATAATAACTCAGTATTGAGTAGTGGAAGCTATGACATGATTATGCATGGTGACAGTAAAGCTATAGTCATACAAGAAGTTATGAAATGATATTTAGGAATGTTTATCGCCAAGATGGTCAGTTAATTTGGTTGAAACAACTCTAAACAATCATAAAATAACATTTCAGGGTTGTTGTTTTGTTTTTTATTGTCAGGTCTAATGCAGTGTTTGTAGCGGTAGTGTGAGTAATCCTGAATAATACAAAATTTTTTAAGGTGGTGACTATGGCGTTCACAAGCAATGATTGACAGTTTAATATTGCCGAAAAGTATAGAGAATAAGAAAAAACGACCACAAAACTAATAATTACGTGATGGTTAATGATAGGACAATTTTGTAATATTCATAGTGCTAATAGAGTCGGAACCAGTGGATACACAATAGAAGGAATATAGTAAAGTACAAAAAAGGAAGCCAATGTTAATAATTTGGGTAGCTAAGTATGTTTGAGAAGGAGTTCACTATAGAATACAAAATAAGAGAGAAATAAAAGAGCCTAAAATTATATTGTTAATAACAAAGCAAGTCATAGGTTTCACGCTTAACACTGTCTCTGTCGCTTAGAACACGGGCCAAGTATGGTATCGTCGAGTTCCTGTACTTGGTTTTACGAGCATAGATTATTTTATACTGATTTCTGGTTTTACTTGATGAGATACAAGGCGAGAGTTGGGAATAGAGGGGGTGTTGGGGGTCGGAGAGTATGGTTTTTGACCATTTTTCGCATGTATTCAGATGCCTGTCAACTAAAGTAGTGACGAGCTGACTGAGTTTTACACCACTAGTCCTACTGAATACCTTCAACATCCTTCTCAGGATGGTATAGTCTTTTTTCAGTAGACCAGGAAAGGCTAACGGGGAGCAGTAAAGTAGAATAGGTAAGATACAAGAGTTGACAAATTGTGAAAGTAGAGGCTACATATCTCACTCCGTGAAAACATAACAAGCTCTACTGGAGCTTCGAGGCTCAGGCCCTGACACTATATGTTCCACTTGAGACGCAGGAGGATAAATAGTCTGTGCTCACAACCATCTGATCATCAATAATATGCGATGATATTTTGTTTGTCGCGTGCACGAGGAGTTATAAAGGGTGTTGAGCAGATGCATTTTACTCAGATATCACAAACTCACTGAAATCTGCTTCATAAGATATTGTTGCTTGTGTTATGTCTTCAACTGCTAATGAAATGCCTTAATTCATTGATGACAATTGAGCATTCCGTTGGTAAAACGCTATGGTAATTTCTGATGTATATCAATTTATGTTGCTGGGGATATCTCTTAGTTGAAATCCTTCATTTATGTGACTCTCATCTTAGCTCAAAACGTAAATTACTGCGCATATCCAGATTCACTTCATTGTCACTGATGTTCCTTGGAGTGTTTGCATAATCAGTGTGCATTCATACGGTAGTCATATATACACTGAACACTGTTATCAGTATTCAATAGTTTAGAACTGAGGAAACCATCATGAACACTAAACAATTTGATACATACTCCATGTGTGATATCAGAAATACGTGTTCTCAAACGAAGCTACATAACAAGACTACTAACCAAGACATAGAGTCGAACCAGGCCAACTTACATTCCTGAGCATCATTTAGTCAGTGGCCAGTCAGGAAGAGAAGGCACACTGAGCGTGAGTGAAGCTAGCAACTTCATCCTGTAAAAATAACATAAGCTCTGCTTAAACTTCATCACTCATACACCAATACTGACTTACGTTTTTGCTTTATGTATATTTTGTACTGCTTCTTTTGTTTTTAAAGGTCACTGCTAAAGGTATAGTTATAGGAGTTCAAACTAATCTTGCCTTGACCATTATAAATTATGAGAATATTGAAAAATGGATTGCAAATACTGATCGTGTGAAATCATTTGGTTTTAAAAAACATGTACCATTCCTACTTTTCACTCGTGATCACACAAGTAAATATGTGCCCGGTGAAGAACTTGATGCGATTTACTATCATGGAGATGTTCCATGTACCCTGAAAGTAGTAAGTTATTTAATAATGAGCACTTTCCACCATCAACAACTTCTGAAATGCTGCAATGTTGTTGTTGTCTTAACTCATGACTGATTCACTCATACACTGCAAAGTCAACTTCATGAGTAGGAAATTTCGTTAGTGAAATGTTTCAAAATATTTAGTACATTGTAATCGTATCTTTGTTGATAAATATGAATAACTTTTTTATTAAAGCATCATTCATTTCTCAGCAGTCATTTTGTGCTTGCGTTAAATGTTCACAAACCATTCAGGTGGTTGGGGTTCGATTCTCGGCTAGTGCACTCGTAAATCCTGCCATTTGGGCTCAAGTAGTGAATCTGGAAAAGACAGAAGATTAACCGTGAGGTTAGCGACCAGATTGTGTGAAGGAAACACCACCAGTACTGAAACTTAAAATCAGTGGGCCTCATATTTCACTCGCACAATCCTTAATACTTCACCACACTGTGTGTACTGAAATGATTCTGTAGGGTTCACTGGAAGCTTAGAAGTAGTGTCAAAATGTAGACAGTGTTAAGCGTATCACAGTCATTACAGTTTGACTTGAAGCATGACTCTTGCGTCCTCTGAAATGCACTTCAGATTGCAACTACATAATGGTGTTGACATAGTTTCATTCTGTAGTTTTGTTGCCTGGTATTACAGTGAATAAGCGACGTATTAGGGTAGCGCACAACTTGTAGGACATGTTTTTCTACTTTCTGTTCTTTTTGTTAAGTAATCAATTGATGTGTTTGAGTTGAGATTAAGATGACAGTCACAGGTAACTTGGTAGGACACCTCAATGACAAACTGGTCTCCTTTAGTGAATCTTTCGTGTCGAAGTCAGTCTGGGAGAATCTCACTAGCAGTTATGACAAATTTAAGTGTATTGAATTCGCATAATTGTAGGGATAATAATTTGCTTTATTCCAAAACAGTGATTATGACACAGTGTGTATTTCTCAGCATTTGGTACAATATTGCGAAAGGAAGCACAAATAATATAACAGAGTATGCGTGACCAGAATTGATATTGCCGGCATCTTGGTGTAAGCGATGATGATCTTGTCAAAAGCATACAAAAAGTGTAAAATAATGATGACAATCATATTGATAACTAGCATCATAAGTTCAGTGGAATTGTGTCAACATAGATTACAAATACAAGAGGATACAAGAGGCTAATTAGATAGTAAGCTGTAGGTTTCACGCTTAACACTATCTCTGTGACATAGAACGCGGATTCAGTGGGTTTCGTTGAGTTTTGCACGTAGTTGTACGAGCATATAACGCTTCACCATGACTCATAGTCCTACGTCATGAGATGCAGGTGCAGATTTGTGAATAGGGTTGTTGTTGAGAGTCAAACATTATGGCTTTAGTTCATTTCTCTTGTGAGTTCCGATGTCTGTCCGCTACAACAGCAACGACCTACCTGACTCGGTGGCACACTACTTGCCTGTCCTACTGAGTAAATTCAATACCCTTCAGAAAATATCGCAAAGTCCTTTATGAGTAGCCCAGAGAAGACTAAGTGGGGGCAATAAAGAAAAATAGATAAGATTGATTCTTGAACAAAGAATATTCTTTTCGGTAACTTCATCATCAGGTTCTGTAGTTATATATCCATATTAATACTCCCGTCCTTCGCATGATCATTCATCTATCTGAGGTTTATATTCAATATGCATAAAACCTGATATGAACATGATTCATGAGAATATATTACCACTCATTCGTTGTCATTCATAATCATTTACTTTGTTATATTGTCGTTCAATTTAGTATTACGATTTCACATATTACCACATACACACATATATACTTCGGACTACAATCTATTGACAATCTGATTGCAAATAACTTTTGAAATTCTGATCTAAATGATTCAATGTTACTCTTTTTAAAGACCACTAATATTGTCACTAATAATGATTCTTTCACTATTACGGAACGATATACAACTGTAGAACCTGATGAGAAAGTAATCGAAAGGAATATTCTTTGTTCAACAATGAATCTTTTTGAAATTTCGAATGTGTATCTATAATCGGATGAAAAAAGGAGTTATGAAAGAATTAACAAATTACAGACCTATAGGTTGAGTGATTCCTGATTGTCTTGAGTTCTTAGTGTAGAAGGCCAGGGGAGATATCCTCCACGAAAGCGACTAGATATGCGATGAAGATGAAACGTTAGCATAAAGAGCTGTTCCAAAGTATTTGATACTTCAGTTAGATCCTATTACAGTATACTAAATGCTGCAAGTATCATGTGAATAAAGAAGTTCACGCCGACCACGTTTTTTGTTCCTGAAAGTGAAGTTGATTGTCTGCCATTTAGAGGGATCTTAGTTAAGTCGATTAAACTTAGACCACTGGCTGATGTCCGACAAAAGGCGATTCCGTTTGAAACAGTAAAATCAGGAAGAAACTGATAACGAGACAGTCAAATCACCAGTATATTTAACGAAGTTGATTTCGTCCTCCAGGGTTAAATCGTGTAAGAAGACAAGCTTTACTGCTTCTCTGGAGATGTGAAGTATTGAGAAGTAAATATACTCAGGTTCTTTCGTCGCTTGATACTGCCATTCTACCAACGAGTCAAAGTAAGTAATAAGGTTCCATTATTCGATGATTTTAGTTACAGGATCGTTTGAGACCCGGTGGTCGCCTGATTTATGAAAAAAGTACTGGAAGCGATGATCCTGAATTAATGGTGGTAGATAAATTATCCAACGGCTCATTGTATGAAAGATCACTGACTGATGTGATGATGGAATCTGCTAAAGAAGAAGAAGTCAAAACAGGAGAAGGGGAAGAATTGGGAGGAGTGGAGGATTTATTACCGCCTCGGCCTGCTCTCCCTGGGTAAGACTTATTAATTAGAGTGTATTAGTGTGTGCTTGTTTACCTTGTCGAAACATTTGATTCTAATAAGTTCACCGTTATTGTGGAAGTAGGGTTAACCAACATGATAGTATTAAATAGTGTCTTCATATTTATGTGAGTTATTGAAGTAAACCAAATGAAGTGGGTAGCTACCGATACCCGTTTGCATGCAACGCATATGGGCGTTGCAATTGTGACAATCAAAGATGTGAGAGATGCTCACAAGTTAGTTCAGTGTTTCAATATAATGTACCAAAACATTTGTTGAATATTGGGATATGAGCATGGCCATCCTTAACACCTTCTCTGTTTGCCCATCAGACGACACCGAGTTGATGCCGCAATCCGGAGACGCATAAACGACATAGGATGCTCATACTAGACAGTATTTGATGCGTGCCGATATCCCTTCTATGAGGTATGAATAGGAGTTAGTGATGTCAGTGTTTCAGAGTGATCGCATACTTGCAAAAATTCACCCAACTGCTCATCTGATTTCTATTTGCAACAGCATTTCCCCTGTTTACCGTTGAACAGGGGAGAGGTATTTATCAGAATTCATTTTGATTTGCGTTAAAATATTCTCATTTACATACCAGAAGAGGTAGATTTGAAAAGGACAAGGTTTGACCCCTCATCAAGTATGCGGACATATTGATGGAAACGTGAGATTCGAAACGTTCCCATCTTTAATAAGTGAAATGACTCAATATCTCACGGAATGGTGACAAAAAGGTGGATATTTCGACTGACGGTAACACTAACAATCGACTGAAATTCTAACTCTAATCAGTTTACCCAATCAACTGATATTGGGGTACTTTGAATGCAGGTTTGTGTACGGTGAACAATCCTTTCACATTCTGATTACAACTGATGAGACTGGTGTTATACAAGTGTGGGTAGTTTGTCGTTATTATTAAGTTATTATTTCAAACTGCTGAGCTTAACTCACGACACCTTAGTGATCAATTATAGTCAAATGAAGAACATTTGTTTCGTGAACTGTAGATGCATGTGTAACTTCTATCTCACAATTCTTTGTAGTTTATAGCGAGAAATGTTTGACAGAATATAATTTCATTGGAAAAGCAGTATGCCGCTTTATGCCAAGAAGTTTTCATTTCCTGATTGATTGGAAGGCATACTACAACACTCCAGATATACTAGCGCCATCTCTTCTCATTTGATGCTGTACAGCATTATTATGCTCCTTTTGTTATTTCATTTCCTTACTGGTAGATTCTCCTTGTTGTAATGTACAATTACGAAGATAGAATTCACGAGTCCTTGAAATTCTGACCGAATTAGCTGGATGGGCAACGAGATTGCTCTCGTAACTTGAAGGTTCCATACTGGATCGTTGGTCGAAACATGGATGTCCATTACTGAGTAGTCCCCAAATAGGATAAAAATAGCCTCATTCAATGCTTCCTTGTTTTCAATGACCCCACTGACTGATATTGATAATAACAGTTATATTGATTATTGTTCATCCTAACTGGTATTGCCTACTGTCCATCTTCAAAATCAAGAATTATCCGTGCTAATATTATTCCCCGTTTTCATCATCACTATGTTTCTGTTGTAGATTACCCGATTACGACGAGTTGCTTATCACATCGTCACAAATCAAGTGTATTCCAGACGTTAAAGTATTGCTACTGTTGGTCTGTATTGCTGTCATCTCAGGCATCATACTATCCTAATGTGATGAGTGAGCAGAGACTGAACACTGGAGTGCATTCCACTCACATCATATGTGATATTTGTTGAAATCGTGAATATGTTCTGATCGTGATCGCTGCAGTTCAAACCACTTGATTGTCTTTTGTTTAAAAGGTTTTGTTTCAAACCACAATAACATTCGACATTTCTCTCCTCCGAGATTCACTCTCATCACTGTCATCATCATCATCATCGATATTCACTTCCCAGCTTCTCTTACTTATACTTATGTATCGACAGAGAAGATAACTGTGTCATCGTTTCAATACACTAATTTCTCCCTCCATGTGTTCATTATTAGAGTGCCTTGTGATTGTCAGTCTGTGTGTTTGTGGTCGCATTAAATCGTGTGATTTGCTTGCAGCATTCTCTAACTGTATTGTCTTTGCAAACATTCGATATATTTTCAGTTGATATATCTGGGTGTACTAACAGTATTACAAGTATTGTCATTATAATTTGTTGTTGTTATTGTTGTTATTATTAGTGCCATTATTATTCTTATTATTGTCGTCATTCGTCCATCGCACTGTGAGTAGAACATGAGATTTGGAGAGAGCATCTCCATTGCATTGAGTTCCTTGTCATGACGTGGATTTGGCTACGAAACTGCTCACAAACTTTCAGCTTCCTCTTCACATGATCATCGCCGTATCAGTCATGGATCTGTAAGCAGTCGCTTCCGAATCCATTCACTTCGATTTACTTCAGCATAGTCATGGAGCAATAGCCTCCTGCTTGGTTCAGCATTTTTCGGAGACATTTATCAGTTATCATTTGCAATAAAGCTATTTGATGTTAGGTATCATATGCAGTGGGGCGTTGTTAATGACAGAATAGCTGTATTTTCTTGAGAATTCTTTAAATGGTACACGAAGACTTTAAAGCATAAATGAGAAACACTGTGTGGTTTATTATCATCATTATTATTATTTATTATTCTCATGGGTGCCGAGTGAAACATAGGGATTCAAATTTATATCTCCACTTTGGCCTGCTATCTGAAATTATCATACTGTGATAGTTATTTATGCTATTACTTTCTTCAGTAATATAGAAACGAGCCAATTGGATGCAGTCAACCACTTGTTGAATTAAATTTTTCAACCACACGTCAAAGCTTGGTCATGATCACGAACTCACACGTTAAGTTTGTCAACCTGAATCAGTATTTCTTCTTCTTATTATTATTATAATGCACTCGTAGTCTCACTGCGAAGCTTCATGTTCCATCTCCCATATGCCTCAGTGTATTGTGTCGATTAGTTAATGAGAGTGTGCTTTTTCCTGTTTTACAGGTAAAGCTTCTCGCCGTGCTCCAGTTATTTTTTCATTTGGGCAAAGGATGATCACAACCACATCGACGAAATGCATCCTCGTAACTTTAACTATTCTGGATTTATTCAACACAGTTGTTGCATCTTCATCAGAGGTCAGAACTCAAAAAGACTTGATAAGCGACCTATACAGCAAGTTCACGTTATATTTTGGTTGATTTATTTCTGTAGAGAATGGTTTTATAAAATCTTGGACTGTTAAACAAGTGATGACTCTTGTTGACCGTCAATTCTTTGTTAGGCAAAACCCATACGAAGATAGTTCACAACCAGTCGAATATGGTGCAAGAATCGCTGCGCCAAGAACGGTAAGTCAGAGAGAATTTCGGCTTATTAACCACTATTATCATGACATGGTTTTGTAACAGCAGAAGACAAGGGTCAGGCAACAGATCGTTTATTAAGGAAATCAACACATATTTATAGCTTTTCATGTTAGCAGAAAAACACAGTCTTCTGATTGGTTGTTTCTCACTGAAAGTTAATCTTTCATCTCTTTGTGGCTGTTTCTTGAATGCCATATCATCTATATGCCAACTGTATCCGCCTACGCAAAGTCTACTGTGCTGGTTGTTGAATCACTCTTTGTTCATACTTTTCTCACGACCAGTATAGAGGACGTAAACATTGACGTAAATTACCACTTACCAATTCGGCTAGCAACCAGCTCTCACCACAGTTTATCTTGAAAATCAACGGAGGGCAAAATGTGGTTAAAAACAACTATTCAGAATACATTCGGGTTCGTCATTCAACCCCTCATCACCTCAGGCGATATATGCGACTTGTATTCATCGAGTTTGTGGTTATGGGGCAGCTTTACATGTTTAACAGCAAAATCTGTGTAAATTTGCGGCTATGCTTGACAGGTTGGCCTCCACGGAAATAATGAATTTCAGCACATTGTAGTGCGAAATATTGATAGAGTTATGAGTTGTTCATTTCATTAAATAACTTGCCAGGATAGAAATGGAATACAGTTCAGTTTCGTAAATTTATTAGGAGTAATAACTCGGTTTATGTTAGTGTTACATTTTGGTGAGCAGTGCAATATTCCAGTCAAGAAAGAAGTGAAATTCTCCATTCCTTAACATTGTGATTCCGAATTCTATTGCAATAAACTTTGCTTCGAACCAGGGATGACACTTAGATACTACTTGTGTTATAATTCATCCGCTCAGCATTTTATGAGGGTAACTGGTTCTACGTTTTGCTAGTGAATTCATTTGTTTTAAAATGTTTATTTTTGACGAAATAAATTGTGCAGAATAAACAAGATATAACACGCTTTAGTGAATGCTAAATTGAAACTGATCCATTCTTTCTGGATGTGATGTGGCGACTGCAGTTCATGGTTTCACGCCTATGATGAAATAGAGCTAACCCTTTCTGTATCCGTGCTGATAAGGCTTGTTTGACATTTGCCAAGTAATGAGGCGTAGACTGCTGGCTAGTTGGGTTCCTCGGGATGGTAAGAGCCAAAGAAGACTGGAGAGAATTGATGATGTGGCTCAAGATTGTTCTGAATGGCGCAGACACACTCAATCTTTGTGATTTGTTATATTCAATAAAACCCTATGCATCTTCTTTTTCTTCTATTGTATTACTATTCCTTTTCCCTAACAATTGTGTTCACTATCTGTCTTTTGAATCTCTCCTTGCACTTTTCTGTTTCTTTATGTGCTACATGGAGAGTGGCATCTCGAATTGATGCATAGCTGCGAAAAACCCTCTGTTGAAACCAGTCAGTCAGTTACGCTTCACAATATCTGCACCATCCTGCCTCATGAAGCACATAAGCGTTACTGTAATTCTATCTTAAAGTGAATATGCAATCACTGGTGCTGTGGGAGGCAGCACATCATAAGCAAATCTGTCAAAGTAACTGACGGAGCACTAAAGTTTCTGAACTGTGAAGGTCTCTCACCACAATGGGAAGATAACCAGCGCTCGGACACAGGTGGTGCCTTTAGCGTCATGCATAAGTGGGATATTAGCTTTTACTAAACATTTGCAAGAAGACCTACCTGCAGTATACCTGTTGCTTCACAAGGGGAAATTCGTAGGAAGAGATGTGGACCAACAGCCAAAGTCGCCTCACAAGCCGTTGAATGTGCAGACTAAGATTCATCCACAGTGTTGGCGGATAGTGTACAGTCGTCGTCGAAGTTAGATGTTGAAGGGAACTCAAGTGATGAGTGGCCTGATGTAGTCCCTAGCAAAAATAGAGACAAAACCACTACACAAGATGTATCGCACTTGAGAGATGGAAAGATGCCTTTTCCCCATGGAGAAACAGCCGACAACAGGAAACCTGATGTCTCCGATAGGTAGTTTATTTTCCACAAAGTGGGGGAATCCAATATTTCAGATTCTAAGGCCATGTTCGCACATGGTCTCAGCCTAGTCAAAACAGTTTTAGATAAGCTACTCTCCACAAAGTAGCAAGCATAAACACCAACAGTCTGCATAGAGTTAACCAAAAGGCTGTCTCCGCAATAAGTCAGTTGGTGTGTCTTCTTCAAATCACATTGAATTTAAGAAATAAGACTGATTACATTTTGAGTTATCCCTTTAATCCCAAGGGATTAGGCATTTATCTCGGTGCATAATTATGCCTGGCAGGATGTATTAAAGGGCGTTCCAATTAAATAAACGTTATTGAATGGTGTCACTCAGGTGATGAAATCATTATCATTAGGAGATGTCGCATAGTACACGTTCTGCAGTTTTACAGTTACCAAACATCTGTGGGTGAAATTCGGCGGTAACAAACTGAAATAACAATTTGCTGCATTATTGTCTGCAGTCTGACAAGTTAATGGCTTTAGACGGGTGGCGTGATTACCTCTGAGAACACGGATATCATGACTATGACGGGATCACCACAAGTATCTGGAATCTGTGACAGTGGAGTTAGCCACCAAAAGTTCACGATGCGTAGGGCAGATTCCCTAAACTGCAGAGGAGATGGGGTAATTAAGTACCTCGAGAAATGCTTACTGTTCGGTGACTCAGAAGCTGAAGCACATGAAAGTGAATCTTGCGAACTTCTACTATGCAGACTAAAATGCATGGGACGAGATATCGACCTCATCGAAATATACCTCACTCTCAGTTGTCTCACACAGAAACCAGTCTCATGAACATTCAAATCGACAATTTCAGTGGAATCGGCCGGACAAGTTTTACCACGCCACCCTCATAAAATCCCTTCCATCATTGGCCGATATGATGGCCCGTTCGATTGTCTGATCAAGAAACCTGTAATTTGTGATTCTTAGAACTTTGTCTCTCAAACACCAACCTGGTTATCTCGTACAGAGAAGATGAGAATCACAAGCAACATCTGCCATCTCTAGTGAGAGGAGGAAGTGATCACGTTGTGCTCACGTTTGACTTCACAGTTGACGCAGTAACCCGAAACTGAAAGTGATAAACAAATTAAAGTAGCCGTTCGCACAACTGTGTGTTCTGCATAAAATAAGGAACTGCGAATCTGTCATGTTCCCCCACATAATGCAAGACGTTACAAATCCCCTGTGTAATAGTGCTTGGCGAAAGTGTTTGGAGTATTGACAGAAAGGAGGAGGGTGTAGCCATGTAACCTTAACAAAATATCGAGAAATCGTCAAAGTTTGAGAATATTTTGATTTTGCTTCTCGTCACTATTGCAAAAGTCTGTATGTAGGTAGTGAGAAAGGTGGATTTTGCCAACATAGATACGTGCATTCATATGTTGAGTGTTTTTGAATTCTTATTCTAATGGCATAATTTCTACGTGGAAATTTCTATTTCTCTTTTTATGATACAGCATGCACGTATCCTGGATGGTTTAGTCGGTCATCTCAAGCGAGGTGTGAAAGTTTCGTGTGTTTTGTGCGACAGTGGATACTTAATAGCATGTATGGCTGTTCTCGTAAGTCCTTTCACAAAACAACGAAGATTTTTTGTTTGTGTTAAACACCACTCAGTCGTGGATATCGATTTCAGACACTCTACAGTCTGTACCTTGTCCATTGGTTGTTCAAGGGTAGAATACTCACCATCCACGCGTGTGGTCCACGTCTCGATTCCCCTGTCAACACAGTCTTAACTCTAGCTTAGCTGACAGTGATTCTGGCAAAACGTGTAGATGATAATAATAATTTGCTTTATTCCAGAAACAGTACTAGTGGTACAGTGTGGAATTTTCAGCACATATCTACAATATTTGCATCTAATTTTACAAACATTTCAAAGGAGTATTTAAAAAAAAAAATTTAAAGACACCAACAGCAAAAAAATTAGGATAAACACAAAATAATTGTAGATGCGAAAAAGTACCAAGAAGTAGAAAGGAAAATAAACATCATATAATAATAACAACTCAGTATTGGGTAGTGGTAGCTATGATATGATTATGCATGGTGACAGTAAAGCTATAGTCATACAAGAAGTTATGAAATGATATTTAAGAATGTTTATCGCCAAGATGGTCAGTTAATTTGGTTGAAACAACTCTAAACCATCATAAAATGACATTTCAGGGTTGTTGTTTTGTTTTTTATTGTCAGGTCTAATACAGTGTTTGTAGTGGTAGTGTGAGTAATCCTGAATAATACAAAATTTTTTAAGGTGGTGACTATGGCGTTCTCAAGCAATGATTGACAGTTTAATATTGCCGAAAAGTATAGAGAATAAGAAAAAACGACCACAAAACTAATAATTACGTGATGGTTAATGATAGGACAATTTTGTAATATTCATAGTGCTAATAGAGTCGGAACCAGTGGATACACAATAGAAGGAATATAGTAAAGTACAAAAAAGGAAGCCAATGTTTATAATTTAGGTAGCTAAGTATGTTTGAGAAGGAGTTCACTATAGAATACAAAATAAGAGAGAAATAAAAGAGTCTAAAATTATATTGTTAATAACAAAGCAAGTCATAGGTTTCACGCTTAACATTGTCTCTATCGCTTAGAACACGGGCCAAATACGGTATCGTTGAGTTCCTGTACTTGGTTTTACGAGCATAGATTATTTTATACTGATTTCTGGTTTTAATTGATGAGATACAAGGCGAGAGTTGGGAATAGAAGGGGTGTTGCGGGTCGGAGAGCATGGTTTTTGACCATTTTTCGCATGTATTCAGATGCCTGTCAACTAAAGTAGTGACGAGCTGACTGAGTTTTACACCACTAGTCCTACTGAATACCTTCAACATCCTTCTCAGGATGGTATAGTCCTTTTTCAGTAGACCAGGAAAGACTAACGGGGAGCAGTAAAGTAGAATAGATAAGATACAAGAGTTGACAAATTGTGCAAGTAGAGGCTACATATCTCACTCCGTGAAAACATAACAAGCTCTACTGGAACTTCGAGGCTCAGGCCCTGACGCTATATGTTCCACTTGAGACGCATGAGGATAAATAGTCTGTGCTCACAACCATCTGATCACACTTTGTTCCTATGACTTGTTTGTAGACTTGAGTATTTAACATCAATAATATGCGATGGTATTTTGTTTGTCACGTGCACGAGGAGTTATAAAGGGTGTTGAGCAGATGCATCCTACTCAGATATCACAAACTCACTGAAATCTGCTTCATAAGATATTGTTGCTTTTGTTATGTCTTCAACTGCTAATGAAATGCCTTAGTTCATTGATGAAAATTGAGCATTCCATTGGTAAAACGCTATGGGAATTTCTGATGTATATCAATTTATGTTACTGGGGATATCTCTTAGTTGAAATCCTTCATTTATGTGACTCTCATCTTAGCTCAAAACGTAAATTACTGCGCATATCCAGATTCACTTCATTGTCACTGATGTTCCTTGGAGTGTTTGCATAATCAGTGTGCATTCATACGGTAGTCATATATACGCTGAACACTGTTATCAGTATTCAATAGTTTAGAACTGAGGAAACCATCATGAACACTAAACAGTTTCATGCATACTCCATGTGTGATATCAGAAATACGTGTTCTCAAACGAAGCTACATAACAAGACTACTAACCAAGACATAGAGTCGAACCAGGCCAACTTACATTCCTGAGCATCATTTAGTCAGTGGCCAGTCAGGAAGAGAAGGCACACTGAGCGTGAGTGAAGCTAGCAACTTCATCCTGTAAAAATAACATAAGCTCTGCTTAAACTTCATCACTCATACACCAATACTGACTTACGTTTTTGCTTTATGTATATTTTGTACTGCTTCTTTTGTTTTTAAAGGTCACTGCTAAAGGTATAGTTATAGGAGTTCAAACTAATCTTGCCTTGACCATTATAAATTATGAGAATATTGAAAAATGGATTGCAAATACTGATCGTGTGAAATCATTTGGTTTTAAAAAACATGTACCATTCCTACTTTTCACTCGTGATCACACAAGTAAATATGTGCCCGGTGAAGGACTTGATGCGATTTACTATCATGGAGATGATCCACGTACCTTGAAAGTAGTAAGTTATTTAATAATGAGCACTTTTCATCATCAACAACTTCTGAAATGCTGCCATGTTGTTGTTGTCTTAATTCATGACTGATTCATTCAGACACTGCAAAGTCAACTTCATGAGTAGGAAATTTCGTGAGTGAAATTTTTCAAAATATTTAGTACATTGTAATCGTATCTTTGTTGATAAATATGAATAACTTTTTTATTAAAGCATCATTCATTTCTCAGCAGTCATTTTGTGCTTGCGTTAAATGTTCACAAACCATTCAGGTGGTTGGAGTTCGATTCTCGGCTAGTGCACTCGTAAATCCTGCCATTTGGGGTCAAGTAGTGAATCTGGAAAAGACAGAAGATTAACCTTGAGGTTAGCGACCAGATTGTGTGAAGGAAACACCACCAGTACTGAAACTTAAAATCAGTGGGCCTCATATTTCACTCGCACAATCCTAATACTTCACTGTGTGTACTGGAATGATTCTGTAGGGTTCACTGGAAGCTTAGAAGTAGTGTCAAAATGTATACAGTGTTCAGCGTATCACAATCATTACAGTTTGATTTGAAGCATGACTCTTGGGTCCTCTGAAATATACTTCAGATTGCAACTACTTAATGGTGTTGACATAGTTTCATTCTGTAGTTTTGTTGCCTGGTATTACAGTGAATAAGCGACGTATTAGGGTAGCGCACAACTTGTAGGACATGTTTTTCTACTTTCTGTTCTTTTTGTTAAGTAATCAATTGATGTGTTTGAGTTGAGATTAAGATGACAGTCACAGGTAACTTGATAGGGCACCTCAACGACAAACTGGTCTCCTTTAGTGAATCTTTCGTGTCGAAGTCAGTCTGGGAGAATCTCACTAGCAGTTATGACAAATTTAAGTGTATTGAATTCGCATAATAGTAGGGATAATAATTTGCTTTATTCCAAAACAGTGATTATGACACAGTGTGTATTTCTCAGCATTTGGTACAATATTGCGAAAGGAAGCACAAATAATATAACAGAGTATGCGTGACCAGAATTGATATTGCCGGCATCTTGGTGTAAGCGATGATGATCTTGTCAAAAGCATACAAAAAGTGTAAAATAATGATGACAATCATATTGATAACTAGCATCATAAGTTCAGTGGAATTGTGTCAACATAGATTACAAATACAAGAGGATACAAGAGGCTAATTAGATAGTAAGCTGTAGGTTTCACGCTTAACACTATCTCTGTGACATAGAACGCGGATTCAGTGGGTTCCGTTGAGTTTTGCACTTAGTTGTACGAGCATATAACGCTTCACCATGACTCATAGTCCTACGTCATGAGATGCAGGTGCAGATTTGTGAATAGGGTTGTTGTTGAGAGTCAGACATTATGGATTTAGTTCATTTCTCTTGTGAGTTACGATGTCTGTCCACTACAACAGTAACGATCTACTTGACTTGGTGGCACACTACTTGCCTGTCGTACTGAGAAACTTCATTACCCTTCAAAAAATATCGCAAAGTCCTTTATGAGTAGCCCAGAGAAGACTAAATGGGGCAATAAAGAAAAATAGATAAGATTGATTCTTGAACAAAGAATATTGTTTTCGGTAACTTCATCATCAGGTTCGGTAGTTATATATCCATAACAATACTCCCGTCCTTCACATGATCATTCATCCATCTGAAGTTTATATTCAATATGCATAAAACTTGATATGAACATGTCTCAGGAGAATTTATAACCCCTCATTCGTTGTCACTCATAATCATTTACTTTGTTATATTGTCGTTCAATTTAGTATTACGATTTCACATATTACCACATACACACATATATACTTCGGACTACAATCTATTGACAATCTGATTGCAAATAACTTTTGAAATTCTGATCTAAATGATTCGATGTTACTCTTTTTAAAGACCACTAATATTGTCACTAATAATGATTCTTTCATTATTAGGGAACGATATACAACTGTAGAACCTGATGAGGAAGTAATCGAAAGGAATATTCTTTGTTCAATAATGAATCTTTTTGAAATTTCGAATGTGTATCTATAATCGGATGAAAAAAGGAGTTATGGAAGAATTAACAAATTACAGACCTATAGGTTGAGTGATTCCTGATTGTCTTGAGTTCTTAGTGTAGAAGGCCAGGGGAGATATCCTCCGAGAAAGCGACTAGATATGCGATGAACATGAAACGTTAGCATAAAGAGCTGTTCCAAAGTATTTGATACTTCAATTAGATCCTGTTACAGTGTACTAAAATGCTGCAAGCATCGTGTGAATAAAGAAATTCACGCCGACCACGTTTGTGCCTGAAAATGAAATTTATTGTCTGCCATTTAGAGGGATCTTAGTTAGGTCGATTTAAATAAGACCACTGGCTGATGTCCGACAAAAGTGATTCAGTTTGAAACAGTAAAATCAGGAAGAAACTGATAACGAGACAGTCAAATCACCAGTGGTTAGGACTCTCGCCGTCTATGCACATGGTCCGGGGTTCGATCCACTGCCGACGCACACCCGATATCTATGGTAGGCCTGCAAAATTTGGGCTACCGATATCCATGCTGAAAATTCCATACTTGTACTGAAAATACGGTGTGGCATCAAGCTGTAGTCAAAAATAAAAAAATAGAAAATATGTTTAACGAAATTGATTTCGTCCGCCAGGGTTAAATCTTCTAAGAAGACAAACAAAATGAAAGTAGAGAGAACAGCATTTCAAGAGACACTTGCTTCAGTAAGCATGCCACAGGATGATTTGCCTTTATACAGAGCATACCGAATTCCGTCAGAGAAATAAGAATGCAATCGGTTATCAGTCCAGAGGTCAGTTTGTGTTAGAGAGAGCTTACTTAACAAAAGACTTATGCGTAAACAGTCAAAAGCATATATGCAACCAAGGAAGGTGCATCGAGCATATTCGGCTCCATGATCTCTGTCAGCTGTCATCTACCGTATAAATGACATCTTATCCACTTTGGTATCATTTCAACTTATTTCCGCTTTACTGCTTCTCTGGAGATGTGAAGTATTGAGAAGTAAATATACTCAGGTTCTTTCGTTGCTTGATACTGCCATTCTACCAACGAGTCAAAGCAAGTAATAAGGTTTCATTATTCAACGATTTTAGTTACAGGATCGTTTGAGACCCGGTGGTCGCCTGATTTATGAAAAAAGTACTGGAAGCGATGATCCTGAATTAATGGTGGTAGATAAATTATCCAACGGCTCATTGTATGAAAGATCACTGACTGATGTGATGATGGAATCTGCTAAAGAAGAAGAAGTCAAAACAGGAGAAGGGGAAGAATTGGGAGGAGTGGAGGATTTATTGCCGCCTCGACCTGTTCTCCCTGGGTAAGACTTATTAATTAGAGTGTATTCGTGTGTGCTTGTTTACCTTATCAACACATTTGATGCTAATAAGTTCACCGTTATTGTGGAAGTAGGGTTAACCAACATGATAGTATTAAGTAGTGTCTTCATATTTATGTGAGTTATTGAAGTAAACCAAATGAAGTGGGTAGCTACCGATACCCGTTTGCATGCAACGCATATGGGCGTTGCAATTGTGACAATCAAAGATGTGAGAGATGCTCACAAGTTAGTTCAGTGTTTCAATATAATGTACCAAAACATTTGTTGAATATTGGGATATGAGCATGGCCATCCTTAACACCTTCTCTGTTAGCCCATCAGACACCGAGTTGATGCCACAATCCGGAGACGCATAAACGACATAGGATGCTCATACTAGACAGTATTTGATGCGTGCCGATATCCCTTCTATGAGGTATGAATAGGAGTTAGTGATGTCAGTGTTTCAGAGTGATCGCATACTTGCAAAAATTCACCCAACTGCTCATCTGATTTCTATTTGCAACAGCATTTCCCCTGTTTACCGTTGAACAGGGGAGAGGTATTTATCAGAATTCATTTTGATTTGCGTTAAAATATTCTCATTTACATACCAGAAGAGGTAGATTTGAAAAGGACAAGGTTTGACCCCTCATCAAGTATGCGGACATATTGATGGAAACGTGGGATTCGAAACGTCCCCATCTTTTATAAGTGAAATGACTCAATATCTCAGGGAATGGTGACAAAAAGGTGGGTATTTCGACTGACGGTAACACTAACAATCGACTGAAATTCTAACTCTAATCAGTTTACCCAATCAACTGATATTGGGGTACTTTGAATGCAGGTTTGTGTACGGTGAACAATTCTTTCACATTCTGATTACAACTGGCGAGACTGGTGTTATACAAGTGTGGGTAGTGAATCGTTATTATTAACTTATTATTTCAAACTGCTGAGCTTAACTCACGACACCTTAGTGATCAATTATAGTCAAATGAAGAACATTTGTGTCGTGAACTGTAGATGCATGTGTAACTGCTATCTCACAGTTCCTTGTAGTATTATAACGAGAAATGTTTGGCAGAATATAATTTCATTGGAAAAGCAGTATGCCGCTTTATGCAAAGAAGTCTTCATTTCCTGATTGATTGGAAGGCAGGCTACAAAACTCCAGATATACTAACGCCATCTCTTCTCATTTGATGCTGTACAGCATTATTATGCGCCTTTTGTTATTTCATTTCCTCACTGGTAGATTCTCCTTGTTGTAATGTACAATTACGAAGATAGAATTCACGAGTCCTTGAAATTCTGACCGAATTAGCTGGATGGACAACGAGACTGGTCTCGTAACTTGAAGGTCCCATATTGGATCCTTGGTCAAAACATGGATGTGCATTACTGAGGAGTCCCAGAATAGGAAAAAATAGCCTCATTCAATGCTTTCTTGTTTTCAATGACCCCACTGACTGGTGTTGATAATAATAGTTATATTGATTATTGTTCATCCTAACTGGTATTGCCTACTGTCCATCTTCAAAATCAAGAATTATCCGTTTTTGTCACTATGTTTCTGTTGTAGATTACCCGATTACGACGAACTGCTTATCACATCGTCACAAATCAAGTGTATTCCAAACGTTGAAGTATTGCTACTGTTGGTCTGTATTGCTGTCATCTCATGCATCATACTATTCTAATGTGATGAGTGAGCAGAGACTGAACACTGGAGTGCATTCCACTCACATCATATGTGATATTTGTTGAAATCGTGAATATGTTCTGATCGTGATCACTGCAGTTCAAACCACTTGATTGTCTTTTATTTAAAAGGTTTTGTTTCAAACCACAATAACATTCGACATTTCTCTCCTTCAAGATTCACTCTCATCATCATCGATATTCACTTCCCATCTTCTCTGACTTATACACTTATGTATCGACAGAGAAGATAACTGTGTCATCGTTTCAATACACTAATTTCTCCCTCCATGTGTTCATTATTGGAGTGCCTTGTGATTGTCAGTCTGTGTGTCTGTGTGTGTATGGTCGCATTAAATCGTGTGATGTGCTTGCAGCATTCTCTAACTGTATTGTCTTTGCAAACATTCGATAGATTTTCAGTTGATATATATCCGGGTGTACTAACAGTGTCACAAGTATTGTCATTATAATTTGTTATTGTTGTTGTTATTATTAGTGCCATTATTATTCTTATTATTGTCGTCATTCGTCCATCACACTGTGAGTAGAGCTTATGATTTAAAGAGAGCATCTTCATTGCAGCGAGGTCCTTGTCATGACATTGATTTGGCTACGAAACTGTTCACAAACTTTCAGTTTCCTCTTCACATGATCATCGCCGTATCAGTCATGGATCTGTAAGCAGTCGCTTCCGAATCCATTCACTTCGATTTACTTCAGCATAGTCATGGAGCAATAGCCTCCTGCTTGGTTCAGCATTTTTCGGAGACATTTATCAGTTATCATTTACAATAAAGCTATTTGATGTTAGGTATCATATGCAGTGGGGCATTGTTAATGACAAAATAGCTGTATTTTCTTGAGAATTCTTTGATCGGTACACGAAGACTTTAAAGCATAAATGAGAAACACTGTGTGGTTTATTATCATCATTATTATTTATTATTCTCATGGGTGCCTAGTGAAACATAGGGATTCAAATTTATATCTCCACTTTGGCCTGCTATCTGAAATTATCATACTGTGATAGTTATTTATGCTATTACCTTCTTCAGTAATATAGAAACGAGCCAATTGGATGCAGTCAACCACTTGTTGAATAATGCAGATGGACTGAAATTAAATTTTTCAACCACACGTCGAAGCTTGGTCATGATCACGAACTCAGACGTTAAGTTTGTCAACCTGAATCAGTATTTCTTTTTCTTATTATTATTATAATGCACTCGTAGTCTCACTGCGAAGCCTCATGTTCCATCTCCCATATGCCTCAGTGTATTGTGTCGATTAGTTAATGAGAGTGTGCTTTTTCCTGTTTTACAGGTGAAGCCGTGCTCGCCGTGCTCCAGTTATTTTTTCATTTGGGCAAAGTATGATCACAACCACATCGACGAAATACATCCTCGTAACTTTAACTATTCTGGATTTATTCAACACAGTTGTTGCATCTTCATCAGAGGTCAGAACTCAAAAAGACTTGATAAGCGACCTATACAGCAAGTTCACGTTATATTTTGGTTGATTTATTTCTGCAGAGAATGGTTTTATAAAATCTTGGACTGTTAAACAAGTGATGACTCTTGTTGACCGTCAATTCTTTGTTAGGCAAAACCCATACGAAGATAGTTCACAACCAGTCGAATATGGTGCAAGAATCGCTGCGCCAAGAACGGTAAGTCAGATAGAATTTCGGCTTATTAACCACTATTATCATGACATGGTTTTGTAACAACAGAAGACAAGGGCCAGGCAACAGATCGTTTATTAAGGAAATCAACACATATTTATAGCTTTTCATGTTAGCAGAAAAACACAGTCTTCTGATTGGTTGTTTCTCACTGAAAGTTAATCTTTCATCTCTTTGTGGCTGTTTCTTGAATGCCAGATCATCTATATGCCAACTGTATCCGCCTACGCAAAGTCTACTGTGTTGGTTGTTGAATCACTCTTTGTTCATATTTTTCTCATGACCAATATAGAGGACGTAAACATTGACGTAAATTACCACTTACCAATTCGACTAGCAGCCAGCTCTCACCACAGTTTATCTTGAAAATCAACGGAGGGCAAAATGTGGTTAAATACAACTATTCAGAATACAATCGGGTTCGTCATTCAACCCCTCATCACCTCAGGCGATATATGCGACTTGTATTCATCGAGTTTGTGGTTATGGGGCAGCTTTACATGTTTAACAGCAAAATCTGTGTAAATTTGCCGCTATGCTTGACAGGTTGGCCTCCACGGAAATAATGAATTTCAGCACATCGTAGTGTGAAATGTTGATAGAGTTATGAGTTGTTCATTTCATTAAATTACTTGCCAGGATAGAAGTGGAATGCAGTTCAGTTTCGTAAATTTATTAGGAGTAATAACTCGGTTTATGTTAGTGTTACATTTTGGTGAGCAGTGCAATATTCCAGTCAAGAAAGAAATGAAATTCTTCATTCTTTAACATTGTGATTCCGAATTCTATTTCAATAAACTTTGCTTCAAACCAGAGATGACACTTAGATACTACTTGTGTTATAATTCATCCGCTCAGCATTTTATGGGGTTAACTGGTTCTACATTTTGCTACTGAACTCATTTGTTTTAAAATGTTTATTTTTGACGAAATAAATTGTGCAGAATAAACAAGATATAACACGCTTTAGTGAATGCTAAATTGAAACTGATCCATTCTTTCTGGACGTGATGTGGCGACTGCAGTTCATGGTTTCACGCCTATGGTGAAATAGAGCTAACCCTTTCTGTCTCCGTGCTGAGAAGGCTTGTTTGACATTTGACAAGTAATGAGGCGTAGACTGCTGGCTAGTTGGGTTCCTCGGGATGGTAAGAGCCAAAGAAGACTGGAGAGAATTGATGATGTGGCTCAAGATTGTTCTGAATGGCGCGGACACACTCAATCTTTGTGATTTGTTATATTCAATAAAACCCTATGCATCTTCTTTTTCTTCTATTGTATTACAATTCCTTTACCCTAACAATTGTGTTCACTATCTGTCTTTTGAATCTCTCCTTGCACCTTTCTGTTTCTTTATGTGCTACATGGAGAGTGGCATCTCGAATTGATGCATAGCTGTGAAAAACCCTCTGTTGAAACCAGTCAGTCAGTTACGCTTCACAACATCTGCACCATCCTGCCTCATGAAGCACATAAGCGTTACTGTAATTCTATCTTAAAGTGAATATGCAATCACTGGTGCTGTGGGAGGCAGCACATCATAAGCGAATCTGTCAAAGTAACTGACGGAGCACTAAAGTTTCTGAACTGTGAAGGTCTCTCACCACAATGGGAAGATAACCAGCGCTCGGACACAGGTGGTGCTTTTAGCGTCATGCATAAGTGGGATATTAGCCTTTACTAAACATTTGCAAGAAGACCTACCTGCAGTATACCTGTTGCTCCACAAGGGGAAATTCGTAGGAAGAGATGTGGACCAACAGCCAAAGTCGCCTCACAAGCCGTTGAATGTGCAGACTTAGATTCATCCACAGTGTTGGCGGATAGTGTACAGTCGTCGTCGAAGTTAGATGTTGAAGGGAACTCAAGTGATGAGTGGCCTGATGTAGTCCTTAGCAAAAATAGAGACAAAACCACTACACAAGATGTATCGCACTTGAGAGATGGAAAGATGCCTTTTCCCCATGAAGAAATAGCCGACAACAGGAAACCTGATGTCTCCGATAGGTAGTTTATTTTCCACAAAGTGGGGGGAATGCAATATTTCAGATTCTAAGGCCATGTTCGCACATGGTCTCAGGCTAGTCAAAACAGTTTTAGATAAGCTACTCTCTACAAAGTAGCAAGCATAAACACCAACAGTCTGCATAGAGTTAACCAAAAGGCTGTCTCCGCAATAAGTCAGTTGGTGTGTCTTCTTCAAATCACATTGAATTTAAGAAATAAGACGGATGACATTTTGAGTTATCCTTTTACTCCCAAGGGATTAGGCATTTATCTCGGTGCATAATTATGCCTGGCAGGATGTATTAAAGGGCGTTCCAATTAAATAAACGTTATTGAATGGTGTCGCTCAGGTGATGAAATCATTATCATTAGGAGATGTCGCATAGTACACGTTCTGCAGTTTTACAGTTACCAAACATCTGTGAGTGAAATTCGGGGGTAACAAACTGAAATAACAATTCGCTGCATTATTGTCTGCAGTCTGACAAGTTAATGGCTTTAGACGGGTGGCGTGATTACCTCTGAGAACACGGATATCATGACTATGACGGGATCACCACAAGTATCTGGAATCTGTGACAGTGGAGTTAGCCACCAAAAGTTCACGATGCGTAGGGCAGATTCACTAAACTGCAGAGGAGATGGGGTAATTAAGTACCTCGAGAAATGCTTACTATTTGGTGACTCAGAAGCTGAAGCACATGAAAGTGAATCTTGCGAACTTCTACTATGCAGACTAAAATGCATGGGACGAGATATCGATCTCATCGAAATATACCTCACTCTCAGTTGTCTCACACAGAAACCAGTCTCATGAACATTCAAATCGACAATTTCAGTGGAATCGGCTGGACAAGTTTTACCACGCCACCCTCATAAAATCCCTTCCATCATTGGCCGATATAATGTCCCGTTCGATTGTCTCATCAAGAAACCTGTAATTTGTGATTCTTAGAACTTTGTCTCTCAAACACCAACCTGGTTATCTCGTACAGAGAAGATGAGAATCACAAGCAAAATCTGCCATCTCTAGTGAGAGGAGGAAGTGATCACGTTGTGCTCACGTTTGACTTCACAGTTCGCGCAGTAACCCGAAACTGAAAGTGATAAACAAATTAAAGTAGCCGTTCACACAACTGTGTGTTCTGCATAAAATAAGGAACTGCGAATCTGTCGTGTTCCCCCACATAATGCAAGACGTTACAAATCCCCTGTGTAATAGTGCTTGGCAAAAGTGTTTGGAGTATTGACAGAAAGGAGGAGGGTGTAGCCATGTAACCTTAACAAAATATCGAGATATCGTCAAAGTTTGAGAATATTTTGATTTTGCTTCTCGTCTCTATTGCAAAAGTCTGTATGCAGGTAGTGAGAAAGATGGATTTTGCCAACACAGATATGTACATTCATATGTTGAGTGTTTTTGAATTCGTATTCTAATGGCATAATTTCTACGTGGGAATTTTTATTTCTCTTTTTATGATACAGCATGCACGTATCCTGGATGGTTTAATCGGTCATCTCAAGCGAGGTGTGAAAGTTTCGTGTGTTTTGTGCGACAGTGGATACTTAATAGCATGTATGGCTGTTCTCGTAAGTCCTTTCACAAAACAACGAAGATTTTTTGTTTGTGTTAAACACCACTCAGTCGTGGATATCGATTTCAGACACTCTACAGTCTGTACCTTGTCCATTGGTTGTTCAAGGGTAGAATACTCACCATCCACGCGTGTGGTCCACGTCTCGATTCCCCTGTCAACACAGTCTTAAATCTAGCTTAGCTGACAGTGATTCTGGCAAAACGTGTAGATAATAATAATTTGCTTTATTCCAGAAACAGTACTAGTGGTACAGTGTGGAATTCTCAGCGCATGTCTACAATATTTGCATCTAAATTTACAAACATTTAAAAGGAGTATTTTAAAAAAATAAATTTAAAGACACCAACAGCAAAAAAATTAGGATAAACACAAAATAATTGTAGATGCGAAAAAGTACCAAGAAGTAGAAAGGAAAATAAACATCATATAATAATAACAACTCAGTATTGGGTTGTGGAAGCTATGATATGATTATGCATGGTGACAGTAAAGCTATAGTCATACAAGAAGTTATGAAATGATATTTAAGAATGTTTATCGCCAAGATGGTCAGGTTATTTGGTTGAAACAACTCTAAACAATCATAAAATAACATTTCAGGGTTGTTGTTTTGTTTTCTATTGTCAGGTCTAATGCAGTGTTTGTAGTGGTAGTGTGAGTAATCCTGAATAATACAAAATTTTTTAAGGTGGTGACTATGGCGTTCACAAGCAATGATTGACAGTTTAATATTGTCGAAAAGTATAGAAAATAAGAAAAAACAACCACAAAACTAATAATTACGTGATGGTTAATGATAGGACAATTTTGTAATATTCATAGTGCTAATAGAGTCGGAACCAGTGGATGCACAATAGAAGGAATATAGTAAAGAACAAAAAAGGAAGCCAATGTTAATAATTTAGGTAGCTAAGTATGTTTGAGAAGGAGTTCACTATAGAATACAAAATAAGAAAGAAATAAAAGAGCCTAAAATTATGTTGTTAATAACAAAGCAAGTCATAGGTTTCACGCTTAACATTGTCTCTGTCGCTTAGAACACGGGCCAAGTATGGTATCGTTGAGTTCCTGTACTTGGTTTTACGAGCATAGATTATTTTATACTGATTTCTGGTTTTACTTGATGAGATACAAGGAGAGAGTTGGGAATAGAGGGAGTGTTGGGGGTCGGAGAGTATGGTTTTTGACCATTTTTCGCATGTATTCAGATGCCTTTCAACTAAAGTAGTGACGAGCTGACTGAGTTTTACACCACTAGTCCTACTGAATACCTTCAACATCCTTCTCAGGATGGTATAGTCCTTTTTCAGTAGACCAGGAAAGACTAACGGGGAGCAGTAAAGTAGAATAGGTAAGATACAAGAGTTGACAAATCGTGAAAGTAGAGGCTACATATCTCACTCCGTGAAAACATAACAAGCTCTACTGGAACTTCGAGGCTCAGGCCCTGACGCTATATGTTCCGCTTGAGACGCAGGAGGATAAATAGTCTGTGCTCACAACCATCTGATCACACTTTGTTCCTATGACTTGTTTGTAGACTTGAGTATTTAACATCAATAATATGCGATGGTATTTTGTTTGTCGCGTGCACGAGGAGTTATAAAGGGTGTTGAGCAGATGCATTCTACTCAGATATCACAAACTCACTGAAATCTGCTTCATAAGATATTGTTGCTTGTGTTATGTCTTCAACTGCTAATGAAATGCCTTAGTTCATTGATGAAAATTGAGCATTCCGTTGGTAAAACGCTATGGGAATTTCTGATGTATATCAATTTATGTTGCTGGGGATATCTCTTAGTTGAAATCCTTCATTTATGTGACTCTCATCTTAGCTCAAAACGTAAATTACTGCGCATATCCAGATTCACTTCATTGTCACTGATGTTCCTTGGAGTGTTTGCATAATCAGTGTGCATTCATACGGTAGTTATATATATACACTGAACACTGTTATCAGTATTCAATAGTTTAGAACTGAGGAAACCATCATGAACACTAAACAGTTTGATACATACTCCATGTGTGATATCAGAAATACGTGTTCTCAAACGAAGCTACATAACAAGACTACTAACCAAGACATAGAGTCGAACCAGGCCAACTTACATTCCTGAGCATCATTTAGTCAGTGGCCAGTCAGGAAGAGAAGGCACACTGAGCGTGAGTGAAGCTAGCAACTTCATCCTGTAAAAATAACATAAGCTCTGCTTAAACTTCATCACTCATACACCAATACTGACTTACGTTTTTGCTTTATGTATATTTTGTACTGCTTCTTTTGTTTTTAAAGGTCACTGCTAAAGGTATAGTTATAGGAGTTCAAACTAATCTTGCCTTGACCATTATAAATTATGAGAATATTGAAAAATGGGTTGCAAATACTGATCGTGTGAAATCATTTGGTTTTAAAAAACATGTACCATTCCTACTTTTCACTCGTGATCACACAAGTAAATATGTGCCCGGTGAAGGACTTGATGCGATTTACTATCATGGAGATGATCCACGTACCTTGAAAGTAGTAAGTTATTTAATAATGAGCACTTTTCATCATCAACAACTTCTGAAATGCTGCCATGTTGTTGTTGTCTTAATTCATGACTGATTCATTCAGACACTGCAAAGTCAACTTCATAAGTAGGAAATTTCGTGAGTGAAATTTTTCAAAATATTTAGTACATTGTAATCGTATCTTTGTTGATAAATATGAATAACTTTTTTATTAAAGCATCATTCATTTCTCAGCAGTCATTTTGTGCTTGCGTTAAATGTTCACAAACCATTCAGGTGGTTGGAGTTCGATTCTCGGCTAGTGCACTCGTAAATCCTGCCATTTGGGGTCAAGTAGTGAATCTGGAAAAGACAGAAGATTAACCGTGAGGTTAGCAACCAGATTGTGTGAAGGAAACACCACCAGTACTGAAACTTAAAATCAGTGGGCCTCATATTTCACTCGCACAATCCTAATACTTCACTGTGTGTACTGGAATGATTCTGTAGGGTTCACTGGAAGCTTAGAAGTAGTGTCAAAATGTATACAGTGTTCAGCGTATCACAATCATTACAGTTTGATTTGAAGCATGACTCTTGGTTCCTCTGAAATATACTTCAGATTGCAACTACTTAATGGTGTTGACATAGTTTCATTCTGTAGTTTTGTTGCCTGGTATTACAGTGAATAAGCGACGTATTAGGGTAGCGCACAACTTGTAGGACATGTTTTTCTACTTTCTGTTCTTTTTATTAAGTAATCAATTGATGTGTTTGAGTTGAGATTAAGATGACAGTCACAGGTAACTTGATAGGGCACCTCAACGACAAACTGGTCTCCTTTAGTGAATCTTTCGTGTCGAAGTCAGTCTGGGAGAATCTCACTAGCAGTTATGACAAATTTAAGTGTATTGAATTCGCATAATAGTAGGGATAATAATTTGCTTTATTCCAAAACAGTGATTATGACACAGTGTGTATTTCTCAGCATTTGGTACAATATTGCGAAAGGAAGCACAAATAATATAACAGAGTATGCGTGACCAGAATTGATATTGCCGGCATCTTGGTGTAAGCGATGATGATCTTGTCAAAAGCATACAAAAAGTGTAAAATAATGATGATAATCATATTGATAACTAGCATCATAAGTTCAGTGGAATTGTGTCAACATAGATTACAAATACAAGAGGATACAAGAGGCTAATTAGATAGTAAGCTGTAGGTTTCACGCTTAACACTATCTCTGTGACATAGAACGCGGATTCAGTGGGTTTTGTTGAGTTTTGCGCTTAGTTGTACGAACATATAACGCTTCACCATGACTCATAGTCCTACGTCATGAGATGCAGAGGCAGATTTGTGAATAGGGGGGTTGTTGAGAGTCAGACATTATGGATTTAGTTCATTTCTCTTGTGAGTTCCGATGTCTGTCCACTACAACAGTAACGATCTACTTGACTTGGTGGCACACTACTTGCCTGTCCTACTGAGTAACTTCAATACCCTTCAAAAAATATCGCAAAGTCCTTTATGAGTAGCCCAGAGAAGACTAAGTGGGGCAATAAAGAAAAATAGATAAGATTGATTCTTGAACAAAGAATATTCTTTTCGGTAACTTCATCATCAGGTTCGGTAGTTATATATCCATAACAATACTCCCGTCCTTCACATGATCATTCATCCATCTGAGGTTTATATTCAATATGCATAAAACTTGATATGAACATGACTCATGAGAACTTATTACCCCTCATTCGTTGTCATTCATAATCATTTACTTTGTTATATTGTCGTTCAATTTAGTATTACGATTTCACATATTACCACATACACACATATATACTTCGGACTACAATCTATTGACAATCTGATTGCAAATAACTTTTGAAATTCTGATCTAAATGATTCGATGTTACTCTTTTTAAAGACCACTAATATTGTCACTAATAATGATTCTTTCATTATTAGGGAACGATATACAACTGTAGAACCTGATGAGGAAGTAATCGAAAGGAATATTCTTTGTTCAATAATGAATCTTTTTGAAAATGTTTATCTATAATCAGATGAAAAAAGGATATATGAAAGAATTAACAAATTGCAGACCTGTAGGTTGAGTGATTCCTGATTGTCTTGAGTTCTTAGTGTAGAAGGCCAGGGGAGATATCCTCCGAGAAAGCGACTAGATATGCGATGAACATGAAACGTTAGCATAAAGAGCTGTTCCAAAGTATTTGATACTTCAATTAGATCCTATTACAGTGTACTAAAATGCTGCAAGCATCATGTGAATAAAGAAATTCACGCCGACCACGTTTGTGCCTGAAAATGAAGTTGATTGTCTGCCATTTAGAGGGATCTTAGTTAAGTCGATTAAACTTAGACCACTGGCTGATGTCCGACAAAAAGCGATTCAGTTTGAAACAGTAAAATCAGGAAGAAACTGATAACGAGACAGTCAAATCACCAGTATATTTAACGAAGTTGATTTCGTCCTCCAGGGTTAAATCGTGTAAGAAGACAAGCTTTACTGCTTCTCTGGAGATGTGAAGTATTGAGAAGTAAATATACTCAGGTTCTTTCGTTGCTTGATACTGCCATTCTACCAACGAGTCAAAGTAAGTAATAAGGTTTCATTATTCGATGATTTTAGTTACAGGATCGTTTGAGACCCGGTGGTCGCCTGATTTATGAAAAAAGTACTGGAAGCGATGATCCTGAATTAATGGTGGTAGATAAATTATCCAACGGCTCATTGTATGAAAGATCACTGACTGATGTGATGATGGAATCTGCTAAAGAAGAAGAAGTCAAAGAAGGAGAAAGGGAAGAATCGGGAGGTGTGGAGGATTTATTGCCGCCTCGACCTGTTCTCCCTGGGTAAGACTTATTAATTAGAGTGTATTAGTGTGTGCTTGTTTACCTTGTCGAAACATTTGATTCTAATAAGTTCACCGTTATTGTGGAAGTAGGGTTAACCAACATGATAGTATTAAATAGTGTCTTCATATTTATGTGAGTTATTGAAGTGAACCAAATGAAGTGGGTAGCTACCGATACCCGTTTGCATGCAACGCATATGGATGTTGCACTTGTGACAATCAAAGATGTGAGAGATGCTCACAAGTTAGTTCAGTGTTTCAATATAATGTACCAAAACATTTGTTGAATATTGGGATATGAGCATGCCCATCCTTAACACCTTCTCTGTTTGCCCATCAGACACCGAGTTGATGCCACGATCCAGAGAGTCACAGACGACATAGGATGCTCAGACTAGACAGTATTTGATGCGTGCCGATATCCCTTCTATGAGGTATGAACAGGAGTTAGTGATGTCAGTGTTTCAGAGTGATCTCATACTTGCAAAAATTCACCCAACTGCTCATCTGATTTCTATTTGCAACAGCATTTCCTCTGTTTACCGTTGAACAGAGGAGAGGGATTTATCAGAATTCATCTTGATTTGCGTTTAAATATTCTCATTTACATACCAGAAGAGGTAGATTTGAAAAGGACAAGGTTTGACCCCTCATCAAGTCTACGGACATATTGATGGAAACGTGAGATTCGAAATGTCCCCATCTTTTATAAGTGAAATGACTCAATATCTCACGGAATGGTGACAAAAAGGTGGACATTTCGACTGACGGTAACACTAAAAATCGACTGAAATTCTAACTCTAATCAGTTTACCCAATCAACTGATATCAGGGTACTTTGAATGAAAGTTTGTGTACGGTGAACAATCCTTTCACATTCTGATTACAACTGGTGAGACTGGTGTTATACAAGTGTGGGTAGTGAATCGTTATTATTAACTTATTATTTCAAACTGCTGAGCTTAACTCACGACACCTTAGTGATCAATTATAGTCAAATGAAGAACATTTGTTTCGTGAACTGTAGATGCATGTGTAACTGCTATCTCACAGTTCTTTGTAGTATTATAACGAGAAATGTTTGGCAGAATATAATTTCATTGGAAAAGCAGTATGCCGCTTTATGCAAAGAAGTCTTCATTTCCTGATTGATTGGAAGGCAGACTACAAAACTCCAGATATACTAGCGCCATCTCTTTTCATTTGATGCTGTACAGCATTATTATGCTCCTTTTGTTATTTCATTTCCTTACTGATAGATTCTCCTTGTTGTAATGTACAATTACGAAGATAGAATTCACGAGTCCTTGAAATTCTGACCGAATTAGCTGGATGGACAACGAGACTGGTCTCGTAACTTGAAGGTCCCATATTGGATCCTTGGTCGAAATATGGATGTCCATTACTGAGGAGTCCCAAAATAGGAGAAAAATAGCCTCATCCAATGCTTCCTGGTTTTCAATGACCCCACTATTGATAATAACAGTTATATTGATTATTGTTCATCCTAACTGGTATTGCCTACTGTCCGTCTTCAAAATCAAGAATTATCCGTGCTAATATTATTCCCGTTTTTGTCACTATGTTTCTGTTGCAGATTACCCGATTACGACGAACTGCTTATCACATCGTCACAAATCAAGTGTATTCCAGACGTTGAAGTATTGCTACTGTTGGTCTGTATTGCTGTCATCTCATGCATCATACTATTCTAATGTGATGAGTGAGCAGAGACTGAACACTGGAGTGCATTCCACTCACATCATATGTGATATTTGTTGAAATCGTGAATATGTTCTGATCGTGATCACTGCAGTTCAAACCACTTGATTGTCTTTTATTTAAAAGGTTTTGTTTCAAACCACAATAACATTCGACATTTCTCTCCTCCAAGATTCACTCTCATCACCATCATCATCATCATCGATATTCACTTCTCATCTTCTCTTGCTTATACTTATGTATCGACAGAGAAGATAACTGTGTCATCGTTTCAATACACTAATTTCTCCCTCCATGTGTTCATTATTGGAGTGCCTTGTGATTGTCAGTCTGTGTGTTTGTGGTCGCATTAAATCGTGTGATGTGCTTGCAGCATTCTCTAACTGTATTGTCTTTGCAAACATTCGATATATTTTCAGTTGATATATCTGGGTGTACTAACAGTATTACAAGTATTGTCATTATAATTTGTTGTTGTTATTATTATTAGTGCCATTATTATTATTGTCGTCATTCGTCCATCACACTGTGAGTAGAGCTTATGATTTAAAGAGAGCATCTCCATTGCATTGAGTTCCTTGTCATGACGTTGATTTGGCTACAAAACTGTCCACAAACTTTCAGCTTCCTCTTCACATGATCATCGCCGTATCAGTCATGGATCTGTAAGCAGTCGCTTCCGAATCCATTCACTTCGATTTACTTCAGCATAGTCATGGAGCAATAGCCTCCTGCTTGATTCACTGTCTGTGAGGTTTACTTTTGTGTGATCACTCTTGACTGTCTATCTGAAGTTGAGTGTCTGGAAAAGTGGCAAGTTGGTGATCAAAGTGTTCAGCTGTCTCTTGCAAATGATTTGAGTGATCCGCTGAACCTTTTGCAGCATAAAGGAAAAACACTGTGTGAATTATTGTCAATTTATTTTGCCTTGGGATCAGAGTGGGACATATGTCTTCAACAGCAGATCTCCATTTTTTATCCTCTTCTGCATAGTGCTCTTCAAATGACCTCACAATTGCTCATAAGCTGTCATCTACTCATCAAGCAGTTTATCTTCTTTGTTACCTTCAGTATCATTTCCAACTCACCGTCTACAATTCAGGTTGCACTCGATTTCTAACATGGGGTGTGATGTCACTCAGCAATATCTCAGCCAGTGTTTTCTGATGTGTTTCCATTTTCTTCGGCATATTTGTCGAGCAATAAGTTTTTGACTGGTTCGTTCTCAGAGTTCCTCGTTGCCAATTCTTTCTGAAAATGTGGTCTTCAGTGTGGGCCAGAGAAGGCAACTGTTCACAAAATTCTGAAGCCAGCTGTTGGAAATGCTTTCTGTGAAGCGTCACGTTCCTGACACAAATGGAAGAAATGAATAAAATCGAGCTAAAAAATCCAAATTTAACTCTTCGTGATGAGTGCAGACAATTTCTGAATTGATTTCAGAGTGATGAATGTCAGCCATGGCCTGCCAAATTTTGTACTTTTGACATTCTAATCCGTGCATCTAAATTCAGTTGAAACGTCGCTTCCAGGATAATTGAAGGAGGTGGCCACTTTTCAATTCCTTCAATTGATTTTGAATAATGCTTGTTGTTGTTGGTGGTGGTGATTAGTCATCTTCACCCGGAGTGACGTGGAACTCAAGAATGTAGAACAAACAAGAAATTTGGAAAGAAAGTGACTTTCTACTAAAGACAGTAGGTTGAATGGAGTATTTGTGTTTGTCAACCGATGCGTAGAATGATAGGAATTAAGAAATGGTCAGGCCCTTCATTAAACTGTCGACTCGAGACTACGGAAATGCATCACTAGAGCAAGTGTAAAATCTATACTATATGCTTGACGTATATGTCTGCAGTATTAAGCTTTCTTCACTTATTGGGTATTTCATTCATTCAAATTTCCTGCGGCCTCGTATAATAACAGACACCAAAATGGAGAAGACTTCTAACTCAGGTGGGTGATATTCATCTAGTTGTGTTCTTTGAACTGGTCTATTTAATTGAGAAGCTTTCGTAGTGCTTCTCGGAAACATCTTCATTGTAGGATTTAGTATAAAATGCACTCACTTGAATTCTCCATGAATTATTTAATTAGATCTCCTGGCTACCATTGTGGTGACTGTTTGGTGACGTACGTACCAATTGATCATATTCACTGACTTTTAATTTGAGCTTTCTTGTCATGTGATTCACTTAGTATTAGCTGGTAAATTTCGTCTATACGTAGGGGGTATACAGCTAGAGTCCGCTGATACAAATTATTAATGTAATCCACAGAAGTGTTCACTGCTGGGGTCGTGTCTACCAGTTGGAGCTGTTCACCGTTTGCAGAATAGTCTTCGGATGGGATGAGAGGCTCCTGCAAAATCCAGAGGATACAATACGGTTAGTAATGAAGCAAGTAGACAGTATGGATCAGTGAGAAGACGAGATGTCGAGCAGCACACTGTATTTTTAATTTGTACTCCGAAGTTATGCATATTTTACAATGAATCGTTTCAAACAAAAATTAGGTGCAATGTTTCCATTTTTAACATCTAACAAAATGTATAGTAATGTGTTTATCAGTCGCTTAAAGATTCACTTGAGTACCAGGCTTCCAGAATTTCCATGGCTGCGTTATCGGTGTTTCCTCTGTTTAAAATTTCTACATCATCTCAATTAAATCGATGCCAGTAATTATCTGCATGGACTGATATGAAAGAATATACATGTCAAGTCTTCTTTTTGATGTGATTTTGTTCTCTGAGCTGGATAGTTAATTTGCGAAGCTTTCATCACCCTACTAGGTGACATCTTCAGCGCATACTTCAGTTTGAAGTGAGATTTTAGATTTCCCCACGAGTTTATTAATCATCTCTCCTGGCGACCTTGGACGTGACTGGTTACTTGTATTGTCACTCATTGTTTCTTTGACTTGAACTTTGACCCTATGTGTGTGAGGTTTCTTTCTTATCGGTTGATAAATTTTGTCTATCTCGATGTGTCTATTGATTGATGATTCACTGGAATGCCAAGGTTCTAAAACTTCTCTAGCATTCTTGTTGTTTCCTCTGTCTAATATCTGGACATTGTCCCAGTCGAATTGATGTCCGTTTTTGTCTGTATGTAGTGATATGAGGGAGTGGATATCATGTCTTTTGACAGCTAGCTTATGTTCGTGGATACGAAGAAGAAGGGGACGTCCACTTTGGCCAATGTAGTGTTTTTCGCAGTTGATACAATCTATTTTGTAGATGGTGTTGGTTTTATCTTCCTTCGCTGTTGAGTCTTTTGGTTGA